CTCCATTGGGGGATAAAAAGGCAGAAGAAGATGTTGACTGTACCCAGAGACATTTCTAATATCCACACTGACTGTACCCAGAGACATTTCTAATATCCATGTTGACTGTACTGCACCCAGAGACATTTCTAATATCCATGTTGACTGTACCCAGAGACATTTCTAATATCCATGTTATGAAAATACAGCAACTTCAAAATCAGAAGATTACTGGCTCTACTGAAAAAAAGAACCGCCACCATTATGTTAGCAAGCCAACTATTATTCTTCAAAAAAAGGTAAAGTAGATTTCAAACTAAACAAGCAACAATCAAATAAACCAAAAAAGAAAACTATAAACAATTAATGAAACGTGCTATGAACAAAACAAGAAACCATGTACAAATAGGCAGGGTATTCTGAGAATTTAGGCTATATTTGTAATATCCTTTAATTGGTAAATAAAACTTCAGGTAAATGAAAATAAACATTCATCTGTGCAAACCAAACACCAGCAAATTCAACTAAGAAAATATATTAATATCAATATGATATTTTTAGACTGTAAAATGTAATTTAAAACACAATTTTATAAAGTGTATATATTTTGTGAAAATGACAATCAATTAAAAAAATATGACAAAATAAATGGACCTTTATAAAATAAAACTTTACAAAAACGTACATAGTCCTTTTTTTTTTATATTCCCCTTCCGAGACAGCGACTTGAGGATCAGATACCCAGTGACTGAAAGAACTAACATCTGCATGTCAATTCAACAACAGCAAATCCCAGACAACCCCTTCAATTGTATAAAACAATTATATTGGGGCAGCCCGCAGCTACATAAAGTAACCTGTCTTGTGTGAGTAGGGGTTTTTATTTTACTGTGCTGGTACTCGTGGAGAGAAGAACCAAGCTGTTTGATAAATTAAAGATTGGCCCCTAGTGCTTTTTTGGACTCTAAATGTTATCACCGATCAAGAAAGACATACATGGTATTTATTTAACCAGGCTTATTTTCCCGGCTTATATGGCACCAGTGTTACAATTATAAATTCCATCTTTACTTACAAATTAAAAGAAAAGTTTTAGCAGATACCCCATGTGGGTTCCGGGGTCCCATTGTGGAAAAAACAAGAATAGACCCACTGTCTCCCCAAAAAACGTGTCACAGGAGTCGATTAATGGGAGCTTCTTTCGAAGTAAGGGTGCATCTGCCCGAGCGACAAGGAACAACCAACTGCACACAAATAAGCCAGTAAAATGGATGTACACACAAAAAATCAGGCCCCGGTAAAAAGCTAAAGTCTAAATGGATGAACAACCAGGACAAATAAGAAAAAGAAGAACAACAACAACACGAATTACAGCAGACAATATTAGATAAGGAAATAAGCAAGAATTCTGGTGGTTCTGAAATCATGAAAAATATATTCTTGTATAACACTGACTAGGTGAAGCTAACACCTTGAGGTAATACCATCTACCCTCAAACAATTGTAAACAAAATGTCCATTACCGATGTAACTAGAATTTTCATATTCAACCATGAAAACCGATAAAGCAATCAGGTAATGATACTGCTGTTGGATAGGCCATACACTGAGAAAACCAGAAAACAATATAACTAGAATGTCTTCATACTGGAACCCATAGGGGCACAGAAATAAAAACAGACCAAATAAAACATGAAGAAGTGGACAAGAATACAGTAAAAAGTGGAAGAGATGAGGGGACTGCATGTGATAGCAAAGGATAAGATGACTTGGCTGAGGGTCCCATTAGGAGATTCAAGGAGGAAGAAGGAAGAACCATTATAGTTTTTTTTCCCCACAAATGCTCCACCGTTTACAATTATATTTCTCAACGTAATATAAGTTAAAAATACATGGTCATGTTACTGGATGTTATTAACTGATAAACCCTCCGATTCTGTAACCAATGGACAATGCTTGTATCTAATACTACACATCCACGCACAAGTAATTTGAGGCGTACTAATTACACATAATACACAGTAATACTGTACACTTAATACCACAAAGAAATAATCAAACAAATCTGTAAATCAAACTGTGCAACTAAATCAGACAGAGCAAAAGTCAGTATTATAAAAAGATTTTAATATTTACTGATGGGCACTAATGTCCATTTTTCTATTTGGCAGACATTCTCCGTTAATCCTTTGCTAACACAGTGTAATCACATAAGTAGATGTCTATATGACAGTGACAATGAAGATGGAAAAACACTTACATTCTTAAATGAAAATAAGTTGTAGATTTATTAAAATTAAGCAAACACACCCTTGTTCATTTCGGACGACTTTTTGTCTCATGTTCAATTTGTGATGACACAACCTTTTTGTAAAATGTATTCCCTTACTGCTATCATTGTTCTTCAAGCCCCTTAAAAGATAACCTCACTTGAAAGACCTGATCTGACTGCCAACACTTGACAACACAGCCAAGACACCTGCAGTTAGATGGTTCACTGCTGCAGTACTGCACCTTCACTTTGAGCCATCTCAAATAATATCTCCAGATCAATTAGGATATGATCTGCAGACAACTGCTGAAGTTTAACTTCAAGATAAAATCTGAGTTCAAGTGGTTGTGGAAGTTTAGCTCTTGGATAAAGTTAACAACTCAATAACTGCGGACGTAGTGCAATTGCTGAGTGTCGTTTTTGGACAATGTCCATGTATTTGTCAAAGCTAAGCTATTGGATAATGCCTGTATGCATTTGTCAAAGGTAAGCTTTTGGATAATGTCTGTATGCAATAGTTAAAGTTCACTTTGCATAACAATTGCAATCCAATAACTAGTAACTTTTAACTTGTGGAATGAAAAATGGGAAAAAAACCCAGTAACTTCCTGATTCAGCTGTAAGTACCAAGTAAATGTTGATACCTAAGTTTAATTGCTATAGCATACAGATCAGCTTTTGCTTACTTTTGAAACAAAATGTCTGATTAAACAGTATAACTCTCTACACATTAAAACACCATTTAGAAAAGACTGGCTGCTGCTCTATTTATGTGACTCATGAATACAATCTTGCATTGACTGGAAAAGCACAAGATTTATGGCTCTGTTACAATGGGCACAAAGGAATTCAGAGAACCCAAGTTTAGTAGCAACGTCTGCAAAACAATGATTGAATTCTAGATCACAATGTTCAAGATATCACAAACTGTAATAAAACCACCCTTAACATAAACTATACGATTCTGTTATGCTTTTTTCAGTCTTCTAAAGTTCTATTTATAGCTACATATGACTTAACGGTCATCCATACTTGCACCTGTAGCTGTTTATGATTTAGCAATCCTCCATGGTTCTATGTTTAGCTAATTATGACTCAGCAGTCATCCATAGTGTCAAATGTAGCCATTTATGACTCAACAGTCTTCCATAGTTTGATCTGTATCAACTTATGACTCAACAGTCTTCCACAGTTCCAAATGTAGCCATTTACAACTCAACAGTCTTCTATAGTTTTATCTGTAGCCATTTATGACTCAACAGTCTTCTGTAGTTTTATCTGCAGCCATTTATGCCTCAATAGTCTTCTATAGTTTGATCTGTAGCCATTTGTGACTGAACAGTCTTCTATAGTTTGATCTGTAGCCATTTGTGACTCAACAGTCTTCTATAGTTTTATCTGCAGCCATTTATGCCTCAATAGTCTTCTATAGTTTGATCTGTAGCCATCTGTGACTGAACAGTCTTTCACAGTTTGATCTGTAGCCATTTGTGACTGAACAGTCTTTCACAGTTTGATCTGTAGCCATCTGTGACTGAACAGTCTTTCACAGTTTGATCTGTAGCCATCTGTGACTGAACAGTATTTCACAGTTTGATCTGTAGCCATTTGTGACTGAACAGTCTTCCAAAGATTGATCTGTAGCCATTTGTGTCTCAACAGTCTTCTATAGTTTTATCTTTAGCCATTTGTGACTGAACAGTCTTTCACAGTTTGATCTGTAGCCATTTGTGACTGAACAGTCTTCCATAGTTTGATCTGTAGCCATTTGTGACTCAACAGTCTTCTATAGTTTTATCTGCAGCTATTTATGCCTCAATAGTCTTCTATAGTTTGATCTGTAGCCATCTGTGACTGAACAGTCTTTCACAGTTTGATCTGTAGCCATCTGTGACTGAACAGTATTTCACAGTTTGATCTGTAGCCATTTGTGACTGAACAGTCTTCCAAAGATTGATCTGTAGCCATTTGTGTCTCAACAGTCTTTCACAGTTTGATCTGTAGCCATCTGTGACTGAACAGTCTTTCACAGTTTGATCTGTGGCCATTTATGACTCAATAGTCTTCTATAGTTTGATCTGTAGCCATTTATAACTCAAAAATCTTCCACAGTTTGATCTGTAGCCATTTCTGACTCAACAGTCTTTTGCAGTTTGATCTGGAACCATTAATGACTCAGTAGATATAACTTATGATTATGTATACAGTCTTCCATAGATCTATCTATAGGCATTTATGGCTGTCTGCTAAAATCTATACTTAAATCCAACACCAAGCCTAGCTAATTGATAACCAGAAACAATATTTATCATGAAGTCTTACACAGCCCAAAACGCCATATGACATGATATTTTACAAGTCACAAGTTACACTAGTGGGATATTTGAGACACACTGGCATCAAATGTAAGCAATCATTACAATGACGATAATATTTTTTCAGAAAGTGCATCATGTAACTGAAGTTATCCTAAAATTTCTGAAATCTCAACATTCCATCTATCATGAAATCTATCTCACGATGGTGTAAGATACAATGATAATACAGGAAAATAAACGTGAATTATGAAATTACTGTTACTGTGTATTTCAGAGATCTCTGCTGTGTATACAAGTCTGTCTATACACATACATGCAGAGACAGACAAAATCAGAAGAATATGTGTGCGATCAACTGTGGTCACCAGACATTTTCTACTCCCTGAAACTCTCCCTCGGGTTATGTCCAGACCCCAGACCCAAAGTGTCGTCTAGTCTGGAACATCAATGTGAATTTCATCACCATCAGCAAAATCAAAACGGGACATGGGCAAAGACTCACATCGCAGCTCAACCAGTTCCCTCTCCGACTCAGGGTGAGATGGTCCACACGAGTGGTGGTACATGGTGAAACACCTGTAGAAGTTTTGTAAACAGAGTCAGGTTGTATTCATGTGATAATAAAACATCTTTTAAAAAAAGTTTAGTTAAACAGAGATAAGTTTTATTCAGGTGATAATGAAACATCTAAAAAATTAGTTTAACCCTTTCGCTGCTATGGACGTCTTTTCCCGATTTCCCGTACGCTGCTACGCCCGTCTTTGGACGTTATTTTTTTTCTTGACCCCCAGTGCTATGGAGGTCCTAAGCCGTTTTTGGACTTTTCTTACAGATTTCTGTTACCTCGTATTTTATTGACTGAAGGGCAATATACATTAGCTATATTTAGATAAAACTGACCCATTTACATATGATTAAAAGCACTTGCACGTACTTTTAGGCGTGTTTAAGGTGTGTTTACTGCATTTTGCGTTATCCCGTTGCTTTGTTTACCGTGACAGCGTGGTCGGTGATCTGTGTATTTTGTGCCCTGATATATATTTGTGCTTTTAGATTATTCTACACTTAGTACAAAATGGCAAGAAAACTTGTTAAAGTTGATGAAGAATTGATGGAGTTTCTGTCAAAAGTGATAGCGACGATGACTTTGAAATGTGTACTTCTGACAGTGAACAAGAAGATTTGACTAGGCCATCAGTATCGACTGCTGAAACCGGCGTGTCCAAAAAAAGCTGTTTGCCTGTCCGACGTCCTCATGTCGGAATCAGAGAGCAGCGAAAATGACGCGCCATCAAAACGGCAATAAATTGATCAGTTATCTTGATGAACCGATGATTTGAAACCAGTAGTGCACGATTTTGATGACTCCAGCTCTATCTATATTTCTGCTACTGTAAATTCAAACAGTTAAGTCACTAAAATTTCTCGTCTTTCCCGATGGACAGACACAGATTCGGACGAACTAATTTTTTTTTCTGTCTGTCTGCTAATGCTTAGAACAAAGAAACTCAAAATAGAGTACTTGAGCAAAGACTGTTTGCTAAAAACTCCCGTAAAATAATATCGAGGGACATATTTTTACTATTGTTGAGAATCTCAAACATTTCTTAGACAACAGTGCTCATGCAGGCGGCGATAGACTACAAACTTAGACACATTATTGATAGTCTGCGCACATCATTCATTATGATCATTTACACAGCGCAATGCATCAAGCGGTTGCATAGTGTAATTGGTATCACATTCGCCTTAGAATCGGAGGGTCGTGTGTTCAACCCCCGAAGTTTTTTTTTTTTTTTTTTTTTTTTTTAATTTTTTAAAATTAATTGTAAATTTTCCTTTGAGTTCCTGTTACTTTTCAGCAACGGACGACTTGAGTATTATTATGATTATTTTTTTTTAATTATTATTTTGGTATGTAATAACATGGTGACTATAAGTAAATATGATTAAAGTGGCAGCCGTGGTAGGTTCGTCAATCAAATTTTGGGATACAGACTGGGAACAGTTCCTCCCATTAATTCCCCCTACCCCCCCCCCCCCCCCCCACCCCGAAGGGTGATAGCTCCGTTAGCAAGTTTGTGGGGCACCATCGTGCCTCTGACTTGTCACCACTCGAACCAACCCCACAACTCCCCAAGGTAAAATTTTTTAGGTGTACAAAACATAGCCCTCACCGCGGACGCATCTTTTGCGTTTAGAGGATAGAAAAGTATTGCGCACAGCAGAGACTTTTTTTTTCACATTGCTTAGCACAGGGAGGACAACTATTTCCGGGAACGTAGCAGCGAAAGGGTTAATAGAGATAAGTTGAATTCATGGCAGGGAAGATCATCTGTGTCATAAGCGTCAGAAAGTACATGAGATAAAAGTTTACGGATAACATGACTAGCAACACCAATCATTTTTAACATGACTACCAACACCACATCATCATCCTTTGTGTGCAGTTAGATGTCACATAGGGTTCGCATTCAATTCCTCCACTCCTCTGGAGTTCAGCCCAGCAAATTTTGCCTCTCGTTATAATGTTATTTTGAAAGTCTCCCTTGGATATCCTCTATTTCAATGCATGATATGTAATTCTTTGCTCGTTTGGTCTCAGTGTGCCCAATATATCTCCACCTTCTTTGTCTTACTGCAGTCGATGCAGGTATTTGTCCAGACATTTCTCTGATCTCTTCACTCTTTTTTGAATTCACCCATTTTATGATTTTTCTCAGACATTTATTTTCAAATGCATTTAACAATTGTTCCATTTCTTTGTTGGTTCTCCAACTTTTGCTGGCACATGTTAGAACTGAAATAACATTAGAATTGAAGATTCCTAGTTTGGTTTTAAAGTTGTATTACTTAGAGCTCCATATTTTGCTAAAGCTTTTAAAGACTGTTGTTGCTATGCCGATGTGGATCATAACTTCCTTCACTGAATCTTCTTGAGAGTCAAAATTGCTACCCCAATAAGTGAAAAGGTCCGTTACTTTTATTGGCTTGTTCTATAGCATAACATCTACATGATGTTATTGGCATCTTTAATGTATTTGTTTTCTCATAACTTATTTGTAATCCTATTTTTGATGCTGTAGATGACAAATTGTCTGTTTTTTGTTGTATGTCTTTGTTATTTTTACTTAACTGAACAATTGAACAATATCATCTATGAAATCCAGATCCTCCAGTTGTCTATTTCCTCCCCAATCAATGCCAGTATTGCCTTTGCAACATTTTTAGTATGCAACATGGCATGGACTATTAGAAAAGAAAAAGAAGTTTCATTCAGGTGGAAATGAAAACATGTTCTATAGTTTAGTACAACGGAATTGAGTTACATCAGTTATAATGAAACATCTACATAAGTTATGACGGGGTCTCAAATTAAAACCGTAAAAGTGTGACAGACATTACAATAGCCATGCCACTGTCTTGTAACCTGTCAATATTGTTGTTAATTTAAGGGTGTCAAGAGTGTTCAGCAGTAACATCACACTGCAGACAAACCCTGTGGTATCATAATGACAGCTTGAAGATGGCTGCCCTTCTTTTGACATGCACCTAAGAGGAAAACCGACCTGTTATCCATTATTTTAATCTTTAAAGGGGTAAAACCTGTAATAATTCTTTGTTGAATGAAGGTCGACTATGATGATGCATGCTTATCAGTCCAGCAAGTGTATGAGTGGAGTAGGAAGTTTCCAAATGGTGTGACTTCTGTGTCAGGGTCCCTTCTAGGGTCATGAAAAGTCTTTCACAAAAGTCACCCTATTTTTAAACGTCCTACTACCCTCATACACTTGCTGGAGTGAGAGGCATGCATAATCATACTGGGCCTTTGTTTGTCGATTAATTTTTATAAGTTTACAGAAAGCTGATCCACTCTGGTGCATGTCAAAATTGAAGTGGTCACCTTTAAACTTTCAGTATGATGTCACCTTGTTTGTCTGCATCATGATGTTACGTGCTTAGCATTCTTGACATTTTCAACATTACTGACAGGTAAGACAATAGTATGGTCACTGTCAATATATGAAAATCACTGATGCTCCTGAGCAGGTACTGCAGCACTGCCCCAACTACTCCCTGCAGAGGTTGGGGATCTGGCCCAATGGAGCTACATTACACGACAAGCTGTGGGGAACCACACTGATGACCTTAGACGCATTGTCCTGTTAGTGACTCACACAGGAATGAATGTTTAGCATAGCTGATGTTGAAGAAGAAAAAGAGGAGAGGGAAGATGAGGAGGAGAAGAAGAAGAAAAAAAAAAAAAAAAAAGGAGGAGGAGAGGGAGAAGAAGAAAAAAAAAAGGAGGACAGGGAAAAGGAGGAAAAGAAGAAGAAGCATGCAGACACAACAAATTTTGCAATCTAGGAATAAAAAGAATAATTAAAATGGTCTTTAACAATTTTTTTTTTTTAAAGATGGGAGCTCTAACCTTTTGGGTACTTTTATCACTTGAGAGATCAGATTTCTGAGTTTCCCCACTGGTTCCACTAGATGAATCTTTCGAGAGAACTCTTCCACCCCTTTGCACACAAATTTGAGGTTGGCCCACTCCTGGTAACCTGCACTGAGATCTATATCCACCAGTTTCACGGGGGGTCCTGACCAATGAATAAGATTTGGGGGTATGTTGATAAGTCAGCTTTATTCAGATGATCAATGTGGGTATGATGTATGTTAGTAAACTTTACTTAGATGAATAATTAATGAGATGTTTGCATATCATCTTAGGTCAACTTTATTCAGATGATCAATAAATGAGATTTTTGGATATGATCTTGAGTAAACTTTTTCAGATGACCAATGATCAAGATTTTTGGGTGATGTTAAGTAAATTTTCTTCTGATGATGAATGAATGAGATTGTTAGGTACTTTATTCAGATGATCAATAATTCTGTGTGTAAATTTTTTCAGATAAATGTTACAGATTAAGCTGACTTTACACAATCAATGAATGAGATTTATGGGTGTGATTTTAGGTAAATGTTTTACTTTAAACTGACCTCACATGATTAATGAATGAAATTTATGCACATGATGTTTCCTGCAAGCATTATGAGCTATCTTGACCTCACATGATCAATTAATGAGATGTGTAAATGTGAAATTACAAATCATGTTACAAACTATGAAGACTCCCTATCTCTGGTAATAATGATTACTGAATGAGAATAAATTTATACTTTAGTTCTAAGCACATCAATTACAGTTTTTATTTTCAAATTGTGTTTGGTTATGCCATCAGCCCTGCTGGGCAGTTTTTTTTTTTTTTTTCTTCAATTGACTTCAAGCAAAAGTCAGCAAATGTCATAAAGAAAAACTTGAATCTCCCAGGAAAAAGTTACATACACACAGGGCACCGGAGCATGTGGTGACTGCTTACTGCTGGGTTCCTAATGTTTTAAAACATCACATATGGTAGCCTGCAAGATGTACAGATGACTGACAGTGTTACCGACAATATCCAAGTTGATGTCTTTATAAATAATGAGGAAGAGAAGGTGAAGTAAGTGAAAGAAGAGATGCCAGAAATGTTAGGAATGAACTGGAATGGATGTGAAAGATAAAGAAGGAAGGGAGCACACAGGAGAGGAAAATGAAAAGGAGATAAAAAAAGGTAAAGTGGAGGAGGAAGTGAAAGAAGAGAAGGAAGGAAGAGAAGAAGAACTGAAGATGAATTAGAATGGATGAGAAAGATAAGAAGGTGATTAAGAGAAAAATTAAAAAAGATTTAAAAAAAAATAGAGGTAAAGGAAGGCAGAGGTGAAAGTGAAAAAGAAAAGTAACTAACTTACCATGTTTTTTAACCAATGTGTGATAAAAGTCTGGTTTGTCCTCCTTATCCATAAAGTACCGAAGATAGTGTCTTTCTGCTTTCTCTCGCTCTGTGTGTGAAACCTCACTTCCGTTGAGCAAAGTTACCTTTGGAAGACTGCAACCAAAATTAGCAACAGTGTTATTTACAATCAGTAAACAATAAATTCAACAGCTAAAGAAAACCACATAAGAGAGAAAAATGGAAAGCAAGCACGCAAGACAAAGACAATTGTTCCTGCCAGAGGATAACACCCAGATATGGTCACCTGTATGTTACCCACACCTAATGTAGGATAACAACCAGAGATGGTCACCCGTATGTTACCCACATCTAATATAGGATAATATCTAGACATGGTCACCTGTATGTTACCCACACCTAATGTAGGATAATATCTAGACATGGTCACCTGTATGTTACCCACACCTAATGTAGGATAATATCCAGATATGGCCACCTGTATGTTACCCACACCTAATGTAGGATAACACCCAGATATGGTCACCTGTATGTTACCCACACCTAATGTAGGATAACACCCAGATATGGCCACCTGTATGTTACCCACACCTAATGTAGGATAACACCCAGATATGGTCACCTGTATGTTACCCACATCTAATATAGGATAAAAATCCAGTGATGGATATGGTCACCGTATGTTACCCACACCTAATGTAGGATAACACCCAGATATGGCCACCTGTATGTTACCCACACCTAATGTAGGATAACACCCAGATATGGTCACCTGTATGTTACCACACCTAATGTAGGATAACACCCAGATATGGTCACCTGTATGTTACCCACACCTAATGTAGGATAACACCCAGATATGGCCACCTGTATGTTACCCATATCTAATATAGAATAATATCTAGACATGGTCACCCGTATGTTACCCACACCTAATGTAGGATAACAACCATAAATCCAGTAGATGGTCATCTAGTATGGTCACCCACCCCTAATAATGTAGGATAATATCCAGATATGGTCATCCATATGTTACCCACATCTAATATAGGATAAAATCCAGTGATGGTCACTCGTATGTTACACACCCCTAATTCAGGATAATATCCAGACATGGTCACCCGTATGTTACCCACACAAAAAATAATATAATATCCAGATATGGTCACCCGTATGTTACCCACACCTAATATAGGATAAAATCCAGAGATGGTCACTTGTATGTTACCCACACCTGATATAGGATAAAATCCAGAGATGTTCACTCGTATGTTACCCACACCTAATATAGGATAAAATCCAGAGATGGTCACTCGTATGTTACCCATCCCTATTACAGGATAAAATCCAGAGATGTCACCCATATGTTACCCATCCCTATTACAGGATAAAATCCAGAGATGTCACCCATATGTTACCCATCCCTATTACAGGATAAAATCCAGAGATGTCACCCATATGTTACCAGCACCTAACAGGGAAACAAAGACTTCTCTCTAACCTACTAGACTAAGGAGAGATGGAATGAGGGGGATACTGAGTGGTGAACTGATTCATGACAAGCTAGATGTGGTCACGGCTCTTCCCTCAAGGAACAAGTAAACAATACAGAAGCACAAATAAATCATTTCAGTCTGGAGAGACTGATGCAGCAGGCAGTGGCTAGGGGATCTGGCCGACACTCTACATTCAGAGAAAAAAGACAGACAAACATAATCAAACTGCTCCCGATATTTTCAGCTCTGGAACTCTTTGTTGGCTGCGAAGATAAAGACGGGTTGCTTTGGGATGTCCCTCAAGTGCTGCCCTATGGGTTCTTAACTCAACTAACACTTCCCACAGAAAATATTAATTATAAAATCAAACCAAGCATGTAACACACACAAAAAGTGTGAGGTGAGTTTATTGAGGGCCTATACTTCACTGAGAGATTAAAGACACAAGAGATGTTAAGGAACAGAGTACAAGAGATCAACTGCAGACAATGATTTATTGTGAAGGTTTCTTATATGAATATATTGTTTCAGGTGGAAGAAATGGTGTCAATGCTCTCAGGGCAAACCCCGGGGTAGTTAAGCTTTCCTAGTAACCATTCTTCATTCTTAAAATGTCATCTAAGGATGATATCTTACCTGGCAATGTACAATTTCCTTCTGTCCTCTGGATTTACAGAGTAGTAAAGTGGGTTATTCTGGGAAAAAATGTAGGATATAACATGTGTTACGTCAGGCACACCACCACCAAGACACATTTTAGGAAGGGGATACCTGCCTCAGTCCTCCTAGAAGTGTATCCAGTGTGAGGCTCAAACCATGTTTAATTGCACAATAATAATTATTTTTATTATCATGACCAGAATGGCAAATAAATACAAGAATACAAGGTGGCTTTAAACATGTTCCTAAATAGTCAACTCCTGTTTGACTTAGTAATCACGATATGAAAAGTATAGTTTTATATGCTGACAGTTACCCTGACAAAATGACATAGGAAGGCGTGATATTCACATTTATTCATGAACAGAAGCTTGTGTCTTGTGCATATAGCATCGTCGGAGGTGAAAATGTCCTTGGTTGAGCAAGGCACGCACAAATGTTTGAACAAGAGCAAGGAAGAGTTTGGTTGTTGTTTTTTTCAAATTCCTAAGGTATTGTTCACCAAGATGTTGCACCTGCAGGCCGAACAGTTAACAACGAAATGTATGTTGGTATCCTTCGTCTTCCTCATCTAAGAGATGTAATTAGAAGGAAATGCCTTGAAAAATGGTGGAAGGGGGGGGGGGGGGGGGGGAACCAGTTGGTTTCTGCTACATGAAAATGCACCATCCCACTGATCCCTACTGGTGAAGCAGTACCTCACAATGCTAACTGTGACTGCCCTGTAACATACTCCACGCTCTCCCCACCTGGTACTGGAGGATTTTGTTCTGGTTCCCTTACCCAGAATCAGAAACTGAAAAGCGCAGTGATTCAAGAATGCTGAGGATGTTATCACCAATGCCAAAAAGCAGCTGAAAGTGGTGGCAAAGTATGCATTCCAGGAATGATCCAACAACCGTTGGCAAAAGTGTTTACTTGCTGAAGAGGACCATTTTGAAGGAAATGCAGAGTAATAATTGCAATGTTACTAACAAGTAACTCATGTTACAAGTAACAATACAATAAACAAATTCCGGGAACATTTTGAAGTTATCTTGTATTTTAGAAATAACATGTAATGTATAAACAAATATTTAAAAAAAAGGAATGTCTATGCATGGTTAAGGTCACCATTTAGTCTCTGCAAATTGTTCAGAGGGTAGGGTTCAGCCCCCCTTCCCCAATCAAAAATTATTTTGGAAAGGGAAAGGCCTTAACCCCCTAAAAAAAAACGGGACAAGGGAGTGGGACCTTAAAGTACATGACCCCAGATTCCAGCCCCTATGTGTTAATGTCACTAAGCTTCTGTAGTTTTTTGGTTCGTAAAGGATCATTCCACTAAACAAAAATGTCCCTGCACGTGCTCAAAACTTCCATCGAACGAAATAGAAAGAGAAAACTGTTTGAACTCATTCAGAACCAAGCAACGTTTATTTGTCAATCAATGCATGATGTGCTCTTTCTTAACTCCTTATGCCTCATTAAACTGAGACATTATCCAGCTCTAACCCAACTGTTACTGGAATTATTTCTCTCTTGATAGAGTTATTATCTTAGATCATTTAGACGCAGCATTTATTAGCTAAAGGTAAGAGCTGCTGCAGACAGAAAGAATTAAAGTGATAAATGTGTGATACCGAAAGAGTTAATACTGGGGTTGAGAACCTGTGTCTCCATAAACGAGGGACTGATAACCGAGCCACTCACTCAACGCTGAAACAGACTATAAAAGTTCAGTGTGTTCAGTTTAGAGAACCCTGATCCTATAAGACAACTATGTGCTGTGACCCCTATGCTCCCTATAGCTCCACATAACACTTCTGCTCCCTCTATCTCTAAGACAACAGGAAGAACAACAACAGCACCCAGTTTCTTTCACTGTAATCTGTTAGGTCAGAATATAAGGTAAGACAATATAAGAAGATGCCGAACAGCCTTTTGTCATGGAATGGAGTGGTGTCAGCACATGGGGTGATCATCATCAAGTGCCTTGCTGACTGGCATGGGTGACCATGCCTCTCAACAATTTGCTATCTTTAACTGTGTGTGTCAGCTTATGTGTTGACAACACTTCATGCCATGACAAAGGGCAGTCGAGAATCATCTCATGTTGTCTTCCTGCTTCTTTTCCAAAAATCTTTCCAGCGGTCACATGTTCCATTTTTAATTTTTTCATAACGACTGTCTCTTTCTGATGTTTATAAGTTGTCTCTGAGTCCTCGCTTCTAACAAAACATTTGGCTGTCCAAGGAATTTTAAGGACTCCTCTGTAAAACCACTCTCCGAGACCTCCAGAAATTGTCTGTCTTTTTTTTTTGTCCAGGATTCACAGCTCTTTGTAAAAACTGGCGATACAGCATGCAGAAATTCTGTTTCTAACCTTCATAACATGGATTTATTGCATAAAATGTTCTTCATTTTTTGTTAATGCAGTTTTATCTTGTCTTCTTCTTTATCATTGTGATACATCTTCCATCAGATGTTATCCATGTTCCTAGATACTTAAAAACTTGTCTTAAAATAGGAGAAAGGATGAAAGGAAGTGATGCATGCTATTTAAGAATGCAGTTTGTGCTGAGACATGATCATTCATTCCAGTCATCAAAGCACCTGATGATGATGATTCTTTTACACAGTAAAAGAACTGTTCAACCAAACTCAACAAAAAGCTGATGTGTGTTATTAGCGCTTACCTTAAGCCTAAGACTGGTCAGTTTGGGAAATGCTGAGAATGCTCTGAGGTGACTCCAGTGATGCAAGTTGGCACTGCTAAGACACAATACTTGCAAGTGCTGGAACGGGACAGGTCTTGTGGCCCGAGAGGTGTGCATGCATTGGAGTTCATGCTCAGAATCTTCCAAGCCACTGCTGTTGTTGTTGAATTCAGTATTCTCTTCACACATACCACATTTTGAAATTTGTTTGTTCATTTGCGGGCCCTCCTGAGATGAAGGCAGCCTTGATGCAGGAGTAGGATCAGAACTTTCTGATTCAGAATTTGGTAAGTAGGTACTACAACATGGGTTGCTGTTGCTGTCTACTGGATAATGTTGCTGGGGAAACTGGGGTTGAATTGATGTGGTGGCTGCTGAAGGAAGTTGGCTAGCATCACTGGAGCTATCAGCTGTCCTGTTTTCTCACGCTTATGTTGTTCAGCTTCACAGTCAGAGCAGGAGTCACTGGCAGACTGGTGGCAATCAGAGCAGGAGTCACTGGCGGATGGATGACAATCAGAACAGGAGTCACTAGCAGACTGGTGGCAATCGGAGTCACTAACTGCCTGGTGATCACCACCTCTGTAGTGTGTGTCAGCAAGACTCCTGATGTGACTGCTGCCATTACACACAGGTTCCTGAAACAAACAGCGTTGTGCTCTGGACCTGGGAGGGCTTGGTGTGACCATATAAAAGAAAGAGCTCATGACGTCATCATCAAACAATCGAACTGCCCGAGGAATGAACTGGGCATCAATCTCGGAGACCACTGGACTGTATCCTAGACCAAAGTCCATATCTAGAGCTGCAGAAGCATTATTATGCTCAGCAACACAAATTTCTGAGCTACGGTCCACAGACGCCTGCTGCTTCGTTGGTGTACTTTCAATGTTGTAGATATCACTGGCTTGGGATATACTGTTAGGACCCAAACTGTCTTCAGTATCTTCAAGGATACTATTGGCATCAACTGTCTGATCATAATTTGAATGGTCAAGCTTTGGCACTGTCTGATCATAATTTGAAGGTGGGAATTCAGGCACTCTCTGTTCCAAAATGTCATCAAAATTGATGCCATCAATAATTTCATGCAGAAACTCCTCCGCTACAGTTCTGTGCCACTCTACCGATTCAACATTACTCTCCTCACCAGTACTGGAATTTTCAAGAAGAGTATTCTCCAAAAATACGTCATCATTCACAAAGTAGCCTTCATCGAAGCCATCATAAGCATCACAGAGGCATTTCTTCACATCCACTCGACAACTGTTGTTAGCATTGGGATGTAGCTCAGCTTGTGCATCAATTCTGCTTGGCACACCTGCATATGCACCACTATCATACTCTATCCCAGCCTTTGGTTTATGGTGACTGCTGCTTCTAGCTAAAGATTCTGCTTTGGTCTGAAAGGCAGTCCTGCCGACAGGCTGGGCATTAATAACATCATCATTTCCAAATGTTTCTTCAGTTTTTTCACTATCCCTCTGATCAAAATTGTCCATCACTAAACTATCACATTCACCATTCACATCCATGTCAGAGTCAGCAAGGTGAAACCGCAGGCGTTTCTCCTCTTTTGAGGCAACATCCCTTGATGCAGTCTGCTGTAGAGCTGATTCATAGCAATGCCCTGCTGTACTGTTATGAAGATCGGTTGCATCTACTTTCCTGTTATCTGTTTTATCCTCGCTGTGGTAGAAAATGTTGTCAATGGGGTTACCAGAAAGAACCAGGCATTTCAGGTGAGGTAGATGACGAAGCTTCCACACCTCTGACCATCTGTGACAGAGAAACAATGTTCTTCAGATGGATCATCAAAACAACTTTTAAATTCATCTTCTAATGTGAAACCATTAGTGATAAGAGAAACCCATTATAATTTGTGTGGGAGACTCAGGTTCAATTCTCAATAAAAGATTTTTTTTTCTGTTAGGATAAAAAATAACAATCCAAACCTGCACAGTGTGATGATACTAGTAGCCTTAAAACCTCAGGCTCCGGTGTCCTAAACATCCGTAACAATGGTAAACAAAGGCAGTTAAGTCAGTTAAATATCTGCAATGTGAGGTGACCAGTACCATTATTCACTGTTTATTCAGCATTATTTTTATGACAAGGAGAAAACCAGCCAGCAAGTTGCCTTGCTTTTCGCTCAATAAGAAAAACACTTTAGCTTTAGAATGCATACATCACAGAGAAATTTTCAGAATATCCTGAATTAAAGGGGAAAATAGTGACATTCTTCATAATCTGAAAATCAAAGAAAACAAGCATTATGTCTTAAAAACTGAAGTTTGGCCACCACTGCCATCACAATGCCTTAGACAGAGCTGTACTGAATAAATGATTCCTGGAAGAAAAGGCAGGAGCTGCTCTCATCTGTCAATTTGTTTTCTGGCCAATCTTTCGACAGCTACTATTGTAGTAATCAGATCAGAATGCTTAAACAGTATGCTGATCCTGATCTGCTGTATGGTCGTGAATTTTGAAACATGAATGAACACATTATGAGGGAACATGAATGAACACATTATGAGCGAACATAAATGAACACATTATGAGGGAACATGAATGAACACATTATGAGGGAACAAGAACACATTATGAGGGTTTTGAAGCAACATGGAATGTCCTGGGAAGTAGAGGCAGCTGGTGTGATGTTGACCACATCACCCACTGGGTGCCAATCGATTTTATAAGAATATGATTCAAACATAGAAGTAAAGGCAGATTTAAAAAAATAGAGAAGGGAACTAAAGAGTGAAGTTTTACAAGATAGGGAGGATATGGAATGAGCTGCATGCAACAGCAAAGGATAGGGCGACTTGGCATGAACTGGTTGAGGGTCTATGCTCCACAGGGGGATAGAAGGCAGAAGAAGAACTAACAATGACTGCCTGAAAGTTGCCAATGAAAGTAGCATACTGTATGCAACTTTAAGAAAGCAAACAGTAGCCTCTGGTTATGTAATGAGAAGAGAGGAACTGAAAATCGTCATGGTAAATAGAAAGATTAATGGTAGAAGAGATTGGGACAAACAAAGAAATGATGCTGAACAGCCTAAGATAGTGGCAAAGCAAGATCTGTAAGATATGCATACAGGACTCAGGCAACTTGAAAGACAACATATGTCTGTGAAGTAAAGGCAGACAAGTGATACAGACCACACCATCACCCACTGAGTGTTGACTAGTCAATAAAACTGTGAGTCCAGCATCATATTCCCCATGGATGGAAGGAAGGAAGGAAGGAAGGAAGGAAGGAAGGAAGGAAGGAAGGAAGGAAGGAAGGAAGGAAGGAAGGAAGGAAGGAAGGAAGGAAGGAAGGAAGGAAGGAAGGAAGGAAGGAAGGAAGGAAGGAAGGAAGGAAGGAAGGAAGGAAGGAAGGAAAGTACCACAAACAAAAATGCACCACTGGCATAAAAATCATCCTGTGCTTTTCAGTCACTCCTCTTCGTCTTTTAACCAACCAAGGTGCAACCAAAACAAACACACACACACACAGTTTACTCTGTATCTCAATTTTCCTTTAGCCAACTAATCAGTCTGATCAACACTTGGAATAGAAATAGATGATGTAACTTCTTCAGCGAACGTCTGCTGTTCATCTGTCCCAGCATGGATTACAGCAGGTATGTCAAACTGGCGGCCTGTGGACCACATGCGGCCCTCTGCAAGCACACCTGCAACCCTCTGCAAGCACACCTGCAGCCCTCTGAAACACACCTGCAACCCTCTGCAAGCACACCTGCAGCCTTCTGCAAGCACACCTGCAGCCCTCTGCAAGCACACCTGCAGCCCTCTGCAAGCACACCTGCAGCCCTCTGAAACACACCTGCAGCGCTCTGCAAGCACACCTGCAACCCTCTGCAAGCACACCTGCAGCCTTCTGCAAGCACACTTGCAGCCCTCTGCAAGCACACTTGCAACCACCATAAGGAAATTTTCTGCAATAATTTTATTAAATGATGCCAATTATTTGTCGTGTGTAGACCCTCATGACAAAATGGCCCTCGGAGGTCCTTCAGTATCACCTGCCCTGATAACAGAACAGTGAGCTTGAGGTCTTCACTGGTGCCACAAAGTCTGCATTGTCTTGTGGCTGAAGTGGGTAAGATTTCCTCTCTCTGACTGGTAAAACCACTGGGGAAACAAATAAGAACCAATAGCCATGTTGGTGCTGCCCTGAACATTACAACTTACCTAGAGATATCATTGTTGTTGAGACGCAGGCACTCCAGACAAGGAAACGCCCCAGCGTGAATGTTGCTTTCAATGTCGGCCAGATCTTCATAATCTGAGTTTCAATACACACACAAAAACAATTTCAAGTACATGGTACAGCTTCTATTCTCACTTCACAGAGTAGTAAAATCTGTTTTTATAATGGCTGATTTCCCTGTGTGGTTCCCCACTGTTATCTCCCAGGTCAACCCAGTCTTAAATGAGTACCAGGGTAAAGTCCTGAGAATTAAAGGCGGCTGGCATGTTGCTGACAAAATCACCCATCAAGTACTGATTGGTCTATAAAATATAGGTCTAGTCCTACATGCCCAATACACCTGAAGGTTTGGAAAAGGGTCCCTTACTTTACTGTAGATACAAATCTTTATCTCAAAGGGCACAATGGAACAGGTTTATATGATTGCCATTAAATGGGTTAATATGAAATTAAACGAGATAAACTGCAAAAAAAATATAAAAAATGTATACGTTTTTCACGAAAAAGGAAACCGTTTTTTCTCCTCTTCACCTGGGGTATCTTTCATTGTTTGGTTTCAATGCCCAGTGTTCAATTCTTGTAAAAAAAAAAATAGAGGATAACTAGATCGCCGCTGACGCTCTAAAAAGCTGTTTGTTTCTCACCAGATTTGCTGATGAAAATTCTCCATTTCTGGATCAGGAGTCCAAAGGTTCTGTAACCACAGCTGCTGATCTAAGTACTTGATGCGTCATTGTGAGCTGTGACTTCATGTGGCATTTTTTTTTCTGTTATGCCTGCGATGCTCTGCACTAAAAATAGCAGGTGGCTGATAGCGTTCGGAATTGCGTGTACTTATGCCGTATTGTACCATGTACAATGCTGGTTTTTGTAACTCACTGCTTGCATCAACATTAATCTGTAGTTCTGTAGTGGGACTGCTAGTGTTGACACATCTGCTTTTACTTTGCAGGTGCATGCTTCAAGATTTTGCTGAGACTGACATGCTTTTCAATTGTTGTTTTTAACAAGCAACATTTTGTGTGATTTCCACTGGCACAGAGAGGAAGCAGTTATGGGACAACTGTCTGCAGTGAAACTGGAACCTCGACTAACAATTAACACAATGTCATTTAGTTTACTATTTTTTGTCACTTTTGCTTACTTTGCTATCATATTATTTTACTTTTGCTGACCTTATTATAATCTTATGTTACTTTTGCTTATGTCACTATCACATTCTTGTTACTTTTGCTTACCTCACTATCATGTTATGTCACTTTTGCTCACCTCACTATCATTCTATGTCATTTTTCTTACCTCACCATAATCTTGTATTAATTTTGCTTATTTCACTATCATCTTATGTCACTTTTGTTTATGTTACAATCATTTCATGTCCCTTTTGCTTAGCTCCCTTTCATTTAATGTCACTTTTGTTTACCTCACTATCATTTTATGCCCCTTTTGCTTAGCTCACTATCATTTAATGTCACTTTTGTTTACCTCACTATCATTTTATGCCCCTTTTGCTTAGCTCACTATCATTTAATGTCCCTTTAGCCTACCTCACTATAATTTAATGTCACTTTTGTTTACCTCACAATCATATTATGTCACTATTGCTCAAGTTACTATCATGTTATGTTACTTTTGCTCACCTCACCATTATTTTATGCAGTTTTACTTATCGCACCATCATCATGTCACTTTCGCTTACCTCACTATCATTTTATGTCACTTTCGCTTACCTCACTTATCATTTTATGTCAGTTTTGCTTACCTCACTATCAATGTCACTTTCGCTTACCTCACTATCATTTTATGTCAGTTTTGCTTATCGCACTATCATTTTATGTCATTTTTGCTTATCACACTATCATTGTGTGTCACTTTTGCTTACTTCACTATCATTTAATGTCACTTTCACTTACCTCACTATCATTTTATGTCAGTTTTGATTATTCCGCTACCATTTTATGTCACTTTTGCTTATGGCACTATCATTGTGTGTCACTTTTGCTTACCTCACTATCATTTTATGTCACTTTTTCTTACCTCACTATGTCACATCCTATCACTTGACCTGCTGGGCTCCTTCCCGGACCCAGTTTGATTTGGGTGTCCTAGGATTTAGATGTTTCTTAGACCTACACTTTAAAAGTTGAGGAAAGTTTATATGGGTTTAAAAAAAAAATTTTTTAATGTAATTGTAATGGTATTATGAAGGCTGATAGACTGCAATGGCAGAGGGACAAGGCAGAAATGGCAGTTTAGAGAGAGAGACAAAAACTGAATATACAGAGTTCAATGGATGTAACCATAAGGCAGACCAAGAAGATTATGTAGAGACTCTTTTACAGGCCTACCAAAATATGTACCCTCAAATGGAAAAGAAAGGCTAATCACAGAGATTAATGGGTGGAAAAGGGTGGAAAAAAGGGGGGGGGGGAGGGTTATATCTGCAGGGATTAACCTCATGGACTCAGAATGCTCAAGAAGAAGAAGAGAAGAAGGAAGAAGAAGAAGAAGAAGGAAGAAGAAGAAGAAGGAAGAAGAAGAAGAAGGATGTGGAGAAGAAGAAGAAAGAAGAAGAGAGAAGAGAAAGAAGAAGAAGGAAGAAGGGAAGACGAGCAAGAGAAGCGAAGAAAGAAGAAGAAGAAGAAGAAGAAGAAGAAGAAGAAGAAGAAAGAAGAAGAAGAAAGAGGAGGGGGAGGAGGAGGGGAATAAGAAAAAGAAGGATGAGGAGAAGAAGAAGAAAGATGAGGAGAAGAAGAAGAAAAAGATGAATAGGAAGAAGTTGTATCAAGAACATTTTACACATGGAGTTAATTATTGAGGACAGGTGAATAAAACGGGAAAGATATTAATGGAGCTGCAGATGTCGGCAATAGATAAGGGGGCCTGGCTTAGTTGATTCTGAGTCCCCACAGGATGATAAAGAGCAGAAGAAGGATTAAAAGATCAGATGACACTTACTGTTCTCACACAAGTGCAATTCTTTTAATCCTGGCATCAACTGTGATAGCCTGACCACCTCCTCTATAGTTGTTCCTGTGTCATTCAGTGCCAGATTCTCTACTGACAAGTAAGAATTTGTCAAGGAATCATTCTGAAAATGAAATCATGATAAATTACTGCAGAAGATAGGATAGACCCCATCAATATGGGAGGGAGTCGGGGTGGGATTTAAACAGAGGAAGAGATCAAGCACAGAAACTTGCAGATGGAAAGCATCAAGAGTTTAAATAACAGCTTAGGCAACTTAAAATTGTGCAAAATGTCAAACAGTTTTTTAAATGTATTTGCTTAACGAAGGGGAAAGGGGAACAAAATACTAACAAGACAAATACAATAGGTGTAGCATAAGAAGAACATGAGGGGGAGAAGAACAGGAAGATGGAGGAAGGAAGGGAGGAAGGGAGGAAGGAAGGAAGGAAGGAAGGAAGGAAGGAAGGAAGGAAGGAAGGAAGGAAGGAAGGAAGGAAGGAAGGAAGGAAGGAAGGAAGGAAGGAAGGAAGAAGGAAGGAAGGAAGGAAGGAAGGAAGGAAGGAAGGAAGGAAGGAAGGAAGGAAGGAAGGAAGGAAGGAAGGAAGGAAGGAAGGAAGGAAGGAAGGAAGGAAGGAAGGAAGGAAGGAAGGAAGGAAGGAAGGAAGGAAGGAAGGAAGGAAGGAAGGAAGGAAGGAACCACAAACAAAAAACATAGCAAGAGCAGAAGACAAGCAAATTAAAATAAGTAAAGAAAAAAAACAGTTCAGAAAAATACGTATAGACGAAACGGCAACAAGAAAAATAATGAGAGTGACTTACAGTGTGTGTCAAATCGAGTTGCAATCTGTTACGGCTGACGTTGAGGTACCTGACTTTAGGCAAGTGTGACAGTATGGACAACAGCTCTGACCAGGTTTCTAGCAGGTTGTTGGCCAAATCCAGGTCCACCACATTTGGACACAGGGAAACTAATCCTTGCCTTGGAATATCTGCTCTCGTGATGTCCATGTCATTTAGAACCTTGTGAGAAATATGAAATTCTAAGAGCTGCTCTGGTAAAAGTATTCATACTCTCTCCTATCAAACAAGTGTTTCAACTCATGGTTGTGATGGGCTAAATGTTTCTGTTTGCAATCTATACAGCTAAGATAAAAAAAAATGAAGAACAACTCAAACAATTACTAACAAAGAATCAACATTCAGTTACAGAACAGAGGGAATGAAATAGTATAAGAGAGCTAAACATATGCCAGTTAATCAACAGGTGAGGAAACCAGCCCCATGCTGGACAGGACGCACATTAAGGAAACCTGCTAACTGTAAAAACTAAATATCCCTGCACTGGAACCAACAAGGTAAAAAGAATTTTAAAAAATTAATTAATAAAATTACATGGCGAAGAGAATTAGATTAATAATATAGGGAGGATTCACTGAAATATTACAGTCACACAGAAGAATGATCCATAACAACATAACAACATAACTATATTCAAGTCCAGGGGATATTGAGAAATAAATATGTAAAAAAAAAAAAATGCACATACATATATTTGAAAGGCAAAATATGGCAAGTGGTATGGTAACTAAAAACAAGAACGTATGATAATGACAGACGATTTAGCTTTGCTAATGCAATACCAGGCATAAACGAATCAGGAGGAGGGTTTGGTGTGGAGCCAACAGCTTCACCCTCTAAAACCATCTTGCTACAAAAACTCACAGAAAAGGAAGCCAATCCAGCAAATTAACTAGTCAAGTAGTTTGTCTTGCACAAAGTGCCTGTATAATGGTTGGTGGTGGAAGCCCCTATATGGAAGTCTATGGTCAGAACTGCAAACTATACCTGGCTACAAATATAAATACTAAGAAGGTTTCTGCATGGTTCAAACTATGGTGCAAGCCTCAAAATCGGCCAAGGTAGCAAACAGTAAAATGAAGAGATGCCAGCAGATAGGTTTAACACAGGTAAGAGAGCTTGCAGCAGATAAAAGAGTGGTTAGTAGGCTAGCCCTCATATAATCAGAAAAGAATAAGGAAAACACATGGAAAGAGCAGAAATTATAACATCCCACAGCTGGGAGCCTATTTTAAGTTAAACAATTAGAGAAAATTAATCCAATGAACTGTGATTAAAAAGCTCAATGAAGGGGAAAGGGGAACAACATACTAACAACAAAACAAATCAACATTTTGGCCGGGGCCTTTCTCAACATGAACTACAGAGAAAAATGTGATGTGGAAATTATCAGGGACGGAAAAGTGGTGAAGAACTCCTGTCCTGAGAATATGTGAAGATGAAAAATGCACAGTCACTCAACAGTATCTGCCATAGGATTGTGATTACCCATTTTGTACCAGAGAATAAGTTTCAAGCCCACTATCACTGCTACAATCTTTGCTGCAGTCAGTATAATTCTCTTAGTCACAAATATCCCCTAGATTTGGTTAGCACAAAGACAATCTATAAATGATAACAGTAAGTGGGTGATTGCCAAAAGTTCTGGCTTGGAATGTGTCTATTGACCTTACCCATGAAATAAGACTGGAAATAGCAGCCAGCTGCTGCCTGAGGTACCTATAGAGGGCTGAATGGGTCAAACAAAATAATACAATGAAATAAGGTCAGGGAACAAAGGAAGCATCTCAACAGCAACAAGTGAAAAACAGTCAAAACATTTTTTTGCCACATGACCATAAAATGGGAATATAATTAACAAACCCATATTCTTTGGTACTGTCATGAGAAGCAGAAAGCTAGAATACACCTTAGTGGGAACCTTGGAGGACAAAAGGGTCAGAGGATACTGAAAGAGAAGGATGCTTTGACAGCAAAGGATGTCATAAAACCCCACAGTTAATAATTTGGGACCGGTATTCGGAAGAGTGCCAATTTTTCTAGGGGATGTGCTCAATGGGACTAAGCCTTATTAAACTATGTAATAATAATAAGTAAAACCTTCTTCTTCTTTTCTCTACTCCTGAAATGCCTCCCAGAAACAGAGTTTAACTCTATAGTTACACTGAGGCACCACAAAAATGTTACAAAGTAAGACATGTAGTCCAGTGTGAGTGTTGCCTTCAAATGTTTTTTTTTTCTGGGGGAGGGGGGGGGGGTTAATGGTTGCAACTCAAGCTCCGGTGGAGCTGGAGGATAACCCGTCTGTGACTTACATCTGTTTACCAGTGAGCAAGTTCAAGTTGTAAGCTGGCTGCTGGCAACACTTAATCTCTTTCTCTCTTTACCACTCTCTCACTTTTGATAAAGACAATAATAAATAAGTTCTTAAATATAAGCTTCTCTACAATACTGAGAATAAAACAACCGTGTTTTGGATTTATTTTTAAACAGCCAGGACCAAAACAACCATCGCGTCTGCTAGTAAGTAGTCAAGTGAGCCCGCTTTTGGCTTTGGGCCATCTTAAAATTAAAAATAAAACATCTTTTATGAAAGTCCCTGCAAAACTAAAGTAGCGTTTTTCACATACATAATTTCTATACATCTATAACTAAGAAAAGAAGAAAATGCACAACTTACAACAGTCTGCAAATGAGCTAATTCCGCAGAACTGTTCGTCTTTCGCTTGGGGCTTACAATAATAAAATCAAAGGCTGGTTCATCCTCCATGCAATACTTCTCCTTCAACGCTTCTGTAAACGATTTCTTCCGTCTCCTCGATCGTTTTTCGTTGCCTCTGCTGTTGCTGCCACACTCCATATTAGCTGTTTGACAATTTCTGGGCTGTGTGTTGGATATTTGAGCTTGGTTGAGTGTAGATTTGTTCAACGTTGAGGTCATGATGCTAATTTTGGTATCAGCGTCGCGTCCGTTTGTTTTCATCGTCAGGAACGCCTCGTCCGTTATTATCATCATTATGCATAGAATATTCCAGCCAATGGTCTTTCATTTAGCAAAATATTACAATTTTAAAATTCATGACAAATTATTTATTCATAAATGTTATATATTTGAACAGCGTGAATTATATTGCGATTATAAAATTTTAATGTCAACATTTTTCATTATAAGAATAATTTCATTACATAGCGTTTAGTAGAAGCCTTAAGCCTTATGACGATTGATTGGCACCGTTCCGTCTTTCCAGATAAATAAACAGAGGGGGGAACCATTTCAGGCCGTTAAATATTATGAATTAATCAATTAACAGAAAGTATTGTGAACGGCACTCATAGAAAGAAGTAGAAAGATCAGACGACATTGTTGTATTGCACTATGAGGAGGCATGGGACTCACAGCCCATGGCGATGGCGAGTGTGACTAGCATGACCCGCCCGCGTTAAGATGGGTCTTCCTCAATTATAGCATTAGATTTCAGGACCGTTGTTGTCAACATTTGTGTTTACTTGGTTTCTTATCAGACGCTCAGCTCTCATCCGTGCTGCAATCATATCGTCCTTCATTCTCATCCCCTCATTGACATGCCCTCTCCGCACAACACAGTCCATGGCATTTTGTTTCCACTAATCCACCGTCATACCTGTAGCATTTATGCCACGCTTGCACACATCTTTATTTTGCAGAGAGAGCCTTGTCCTTATGTTATAAATAGGATCGAACTAGAAAACTTAGTAACGACTGGCAAGCTTGATGAGAAAAGAGAAAGTGAAATGTAAAGAGATAAATACCAGCACTGCATAGCCATACGGATGGGGGAGACTTGAATACCGACTTGACCGTTTTGGTGATCGTGTGAGATAGTGAAACATAACAACCAACGCTTGTCCGGGTGGCACATGATGATAATGAAAACTGAGCGTTGAAAGTTGAAAGCAAGCGAGCAAAAGACAGAAAGTGATACAAATAGGAGGATAACATCAAGAGTTGAACGAGCAGCAGTCTAAGACCGTGTACACCAGGGGCGAAAAACGCAGCATGTTGCAGTTCCTTTGCAAGCAACCTTTATCGCGGAGACGGCATTAACCAGTTTGAACACCCAGGAAACGCGCAGTGACAATATAATAAAATAAAAAATAAATTGTATTTTTGTTAAATATTTATTGACATCTTATTGTGTTCACACTTTTTTATGATTAAGACGCACAGTCTATCATAGCCTAGAAGACGAGACGGACTTATAAGACTATTACTGGCACCGCCGGTGCTGGAACATAGCTGACTGCTGAAAATAAGGACAGAACGCCTACGGAATGTCTCCAGCGCTGTGTTGTCGGTTCCAGAAAATGTTACCAGTTCCATTAGATTTCAGATATGCATGATGATAGTACAGAGCAAAGGGAAGACCACGCAAAATATAGAATGAACAGACTTAAAGAAAGTAAGAGCAGCGTATAAATCGCATCAGAAAGAGCACATAGAAGATCATTGTAACTCCTCAAATATTAAATGAGGTAAATGGAAGAAAAAAAAGAAGGCTGTTTCTGCGGTACCATTATCACTAAACTACTTCCTGTCAGGGATGCCAATGCTGGGTTTTTCCCCCAAGATCTTGGTTTTTTAGTTGCCGTCTTGGTTTCTTGGTTTTTATTTTTAAAATTATTGAAAACCTTGGGTTTTCAGTCTTAATGATGAAAAAAACTACAGTTAATAAATATTCTAACAAGAATAATGTGTGTACACATATCTATAATAGTTTTACCCGCAAATTATATTTTGAAATGTCCTACAAACACTTAAAATAAACTCAGTGTAATTAATGTAACAGAATACAAAGGTTAACTCCAGGGCTATTCAGGAAAAATGTAGCAGACCACCAAAGGACCAGATTTAGGATCCCCGAGTAGTGTCCCTTAAGTAACAGATACTAGGGGCGGAGAAGCAAAATAGATGAAGCCTGGGACTTTTGATCGTAAACTTTACAGAAGAAAGAAGTTACCTGACATTTAATTATTGAAGAAAGTTTGGGAGACTTTTCCTCTCTTCTAGGGGTAATTGACCTGACATTGTAGAGTCTCAGTGGTTGAATTGAAATAAAGCAGATTAGCAGAAACCAACTAAGGACTACTAGGGAGGGACCTTTAGTTAAGTTTTCACTAGTTTTTTTTTTTTTTTTTCTGTGTTGTGGTTTGTTGAACTGTGCTATCAAAATTTACTCTGATTATAACCTTGTTGAATTCAAAATGAGTGAACAGATTACACTATAGAAGAAAAGAAAATGGTATGCTAGGTGTTTCAAAGAGGAATGGCAGTATTGGTACCAATTGAGAAGCATAAAAGATGGCCTAAAATGTAAAATATGATATTTTATCCGCTTTTATGACCAATCTCACTATTTTGCCTCACTCGCCAGCAACGGTTGAACGCATATTTTTCCTGATGATCTTTGTCAAAACTAAACAAACTCATTCTCTGAAAGCAGACACTGTAAAAGATCGAATTCTTGCAAGGCAAGCAATCACAAGAGGAAATGGCGACTGCACGACATATACACCTAATAAAGAATTGCAAAGTGGCGCAGTTAGTCAAAGATATTTAAACAGTAAAAAAAAAAAAACAGAAAGAGACGGTGACAATCGAAATTGGTGAAGAAGGAGAGCTGTTAGAGTAACAGTTTAATAAAGGTGGGTATATGTTCAGTTTCACAACTATAAAATACTTTTTGCACAGTGCTGGGTTTTTTATTTTATTTTTTGTTAAAATCTTGGGTTTTCGTCAGCCTGATCTGGGTTTTTGACAAAAATCTCATTGGCAGCCCTGCTTCCTGTGGCCACATTGATCTCCCGACAACATGGCCGACTTTGACGCATTTGAAAGCGCTCCCAGCGAAGACGTAGACCCCGCAGCCGACTTCCTAGCTCGGGAACAGTCAGAACTTGCTGGGCTCGACGACGACAATTTTGGGGAATCTTCGAATTATGTCAATCAAGGTTTGTTATTACTTCTATATTCGTCAAAAATACCGAATAGTCACCAGTTGACATAATCGACGACACGCCCACTGTTGTCACATATAATTAACACGAATTAATAAATTACTTATGATCATGATCCTAGAGAGTACTCATTACTCTGCAAAAAAGTCAGCCGCATCATTTTATTTTTACGGCATAAAACTACACTGTCATCTTTCCTGCCTCATAAACTTCGGTGTCCAGTGTGTCCTTGGATATACTGTGTCCATCGTCGGGTCATGCGCTGGACTGGTCCTGACTTCTTACTCTCATTGAAGAACCCACCACTCCCAGCTTAGAACTCCATTAGGCATTACTCATTACTGTTGTCTGTTCTCTACTAACATCAGAGTTACAGCTACTTTCGTTTTTTATCCTATTGACCATCAATGAGATATAACTTGTTTATTTAAATTCCCCACTTAACCCATTCAGTCATCATTGTGTCATTAAATTGCTTAGGCTCTCCTTTAAACTACGGCCGGTTAGACGGTTAGTTGGAATTCAGTCCCTTGGCTGCAGTGCAATTACGGAGTGGATAAGAGGGAACGAAACAAATGACATAATTTCTGTGTGTTGGCGATAGACAGCATGCAGTGCCCTGCTGTCATCATACGGCTAGGGTTTGGGTTAGGGTTACTGTAACAGGGTACATTTTAAAAAAGTGATAGAGAGAAGAAGACATACAAGTAGAGAGAGAGAGACAGACGAGAAGAAATAATAGTTAAAAGGATGTATAAGAGGACAATAGGACTCCTGTGTGGAGAGTGTAGTAATAAGTCTACACCCCAAACGATCAGGTAATAGTCAGTGGAGGCCTTATGAAGGAGAGAGTAGATATATAGTAAAGTGGTGGTGTAAAGACTACAGCAACTAGCAATAATAGTACCACTCCTATACTCAACAAACTAACGATTGAATAAAAGAATAACAACTAACAATCATGTTTATTAAGAAACAGCATTAAAAAGTCGTAAATCTCATGTTACACAACCAACAGATGTTATATTATGTTATAAACAGAACGTCCTCACACTATAAAACTCAGCAACTGACAGCAGAATCCCCTCTACTCAATGATAAACTAACAAGTGACGCCTTGAATATCCTTCATTGCTCTACAAATGATAAGCCAAATAACAACTACAATGTAGCCATCTACTCTAATGCCAAATACCGACTACCATCTAACCATACTGCTGATTGCAGTCCAAAGTACAGCAAACCTATATCCAAATACTGACTACCATCTAGCCATACTGCTGATTGCAGTCTAGATACCATCTACCTATAGCCAACCCAGCACACCATGACAGAAACTGCCATGTCACCTGTTAAATATATTCAAACAATCTATAAGTTCACATTGCCAAGCATATAAACGTGAACGCAACAACATACATCTTATTCTACCCTGCAAACAACTGCCCTTCTTCATATGAATAGTTCTCCCTTCAGACAGGCATTTGTATACCCTTGAATAAACCTCCATCCACTAACTCACATGCACTTCTTATTCAAAGCGTATTACTATGTATAACCATACATACACTATTTACTTTTACCACATGAATGCCCATGCACTTCCTCCTCAAACGACAAGTCTGGCTACAGACCTGGCCTTGCATCCCCCACTCACTTCAACATCTGATACTTCTGTCCCGCCCCCATACAGGTAAATTCTATTATACCCGTGTACTGCCCTCAGCAGCTTGCCTAGGACAGTTCAAGCTTGGTTGCCCCGGCTAAATGACTTTCACATATCTCCTTAAATCATTCTGTCTTCAAATCATATCTGAATGTTAATGGCATTAAAACTGCATTATGTTAATACATATGTCGTTACTATTCCCTAGCAGTGCGAATTCTGCTGTTCAATATGATACTTCACACGTCATGCTTATCTGTTATCATGACCATCACCATCATGTGCTATGCCGGTCTTCAAGTGGTCATTATATCTTCTAACAGAATCCTATATTCTTCATGACAACCATGACTATACATACATAATTATACAACTTATGACATCAGTGCCCGCTGCTTTCCTCCTGTATCACAATCAAAACATCGCAGACACAGTCTGGCCATTAGAAAGGGTCATTCTAGGGCCAGCCTGTTCATTCACCAAACCACTCTCTTTCTACCTGTGAAATCCGATATTGGGCCTCTGACCTAAATAAGAGGGCAGCCTCCGTATGCTGCATGCTCAGAACGTTTCTCGTTGTTTTATAACTTTCCTTTCCTCCAATGTTCCAAGATGATGTCTGCTCCCAGAAATCATTATAATATACATATTGATACTCATACTTTGCATTCATACACTTGGATCTGTCAGAATAGCATTCGCTATGTCTCAGGTGCCCAGTTAGACGACTCACAAGATCCAGTTAATGCATATCAGAGCAATCATCATCATGTGTCCTGCCAATAACCCAAGATGCGATAACCGCTATTATCATACTGTATCTTATCTAATTAATGCAACATAACTTAAGCTACTTACAAATAATCAAGCAATGTTTCCTGCATATCTGGCAAGTTCCACAACAGAAGTATGCTCAGCTCCATCGTATCGACATCATCCGAATGCCCACAGTATCCTTCGTTGGCGGAGATCTCAGCGCAAGTGTCTCTGTCAGGGCTCCCTGGCAGTGTATATACCCACGATGCTACTTGGTTCTACCTCTCTCCTTTGTACCTGAGTTCATGAACCTGTGTCTTCTTAGGTTCATTAACCTTTCTCTTTCCCGCCAAAGATGGTTTTCCAAGCCACTTTGCATAATTGGATGGGAAAAACCCCCAGGAAATCTTGTGTCGTTGCCTTTGTTTGTTGCCCGGCCTCTGTTAATTTACGAGTATATTGGCCTACAATAGTTCCTGGACTAGCTTGGTATGCACCCACGTCTTTGTCGACTCTTGAGTCCATGCCCTCAGGGTTGTTATACTATGTAGCGACCTTCTTATTCTCAAGCGACTTTATACCTTCTTATTCCTCTGTGTTTCTTTCCTTCTATTTCCTTCTTGTAATATTCGTGACTTTAATCAGTACTGTCACATTACAGTTAGGGTTTGGTTTAGGGTTAGGGTCATACAGATATGCAGGTGTCACATCTACGGCCACAAAGTCTTGCATTGCAAGACCGCTGTCGCTAATTTAAGTCGCAGCACGTGGTCTAGCTCTAGCAGCCATGTGGACGGCACTTTGTTTTGTGATTCGTGCCTTCTCCAGTCCCTAATTGCACTGTAGCCAGGGGACTTAACTCTGACTAACCGGCGGTCTAACTGGCCGTAGTTTAAAGGAGAACCAATTGCTTATATTATAATTATATGATGACAGTTTTTTTTTTGGTCAGCATTATTTGCCCTCTGCTTAACTCAGCAATTAGGAGGACTTAGTTTTTTTGGTACTAGAACGCTGAGTCTCACCGCACCACAGGCCTTGCTTTCTGAAAAATACTCGGAATTAGATATGAGCACAAACATTAAAATAATTATTTCAAAATGCTTTGGGTAAAGTCGTCTTTCTGTGTATCAGTTATTATAAGTTCATTAACTGCTCATGTACCAGTCACTTGTTACTTTACCCCATTCTATTCTAAATAATGATTACGTCCAGTACCATAAGTATTGGAACTCTGTGCTGGCTGCTGAAGATGAGGACAAAGCATGCATGGGAATTCCCCAAGTGCCATGATGTCAATTCTTGACTCAACTTAATACATAAAATGTCACACACTTATGAAGAGTGTTATGAGAATATGTAGTTTTTTTTTTTTTTTTTTACGCTAGTAGGTTTGAAGTAACTTTATTTTTACAATTTTGTTCTCACTTTTTTCTTCCTCAGATTTTGGTGGATTTGAAGAGCCTAACTATGACATACAGGTTAGCTGACTACTTTAATAGATTTGATTATTGTAATCAAAATGTTTGTTTGGTTGTTCTGTCATTTAAATTATTTATTTTTCCCATCAGTGTAATTTCTTTTGCTATTGGTGGCTGTTTTTATACAATTTATTTTTAGTGTTATTGTAAAAACTGTTTACCCCGCTTGTTAAAAATGGAGTATTTAAACAACCTTTTACCATAGTTAACATTTTGGTATTTATGCATTATTATCATTAAAAATTAGTTGCTTCTTATAAAACTATTTAGTGTGCAGTTTAAAAAAAAACACTGTCAGAAAAAAGCACTATAATTAAATTGTTAATTATTTTTGACATTGTTAGGAGACTTGTTAGATGCCTTTCAGAAGAGTACTTGACGGCTGGCCACTTGAATGATTTTTTAAAAAGAAAAATAGGAGATTGAAAACATGACAAGGAACAGGGCTGTCTGTGGTGTGCTATGTTTTGGTCACTGACACATGTCCAGACTGTTTGGTCTCTTGGCAAAAGGTTAAAAGTTAGTTGCATATCCTTTACAGGACATTGCAGATCCAACCCTAGCATATTTTGGCTGTTGTGGTTTTTTAGGCAGATTGACTTCCAGTAGTTTGCTGTTGCTTTCTGGACGGTCGGCTTCTTGTTAACACTGTAGAAACCAATGCAAAGCGCAAGGCCTACAGCTGGGATCGAACCCGGCACCCCAGCATTATGAAGGTCGTTCTATACATACAGGTTGGCAGTGGATAAAAGTTTGCTCAAAGAAACAATGATAAGAAATTTCACATTATTCTTTTTTAAATTAATTATTTTCTGTGAAGCATTACTTCAGTAAACTAATGTTTTCCTATTTGGTGGTGAAGGTGGGTTAACAGTTTGTAGAGATGACTGTGAACTGAAGTCCTTCTTGGGAATTTAAACTGAAGATAAATGCTTCTCCTGGGAACATTAATTCCTTTCCGCTAAACACCAGTTTTGTTCATGTCAACTTAAATTGTTTTTCCTTTAATTGTTGATGGTTATGTTCTTCTATTTTCTTTGTTTTTCTTGCTTTACACAGAAATGAAACAAATTATTAGACTGGCAAATTCAGAGGCAGTAGAACCAAAAAATACTAAAATACAGTTCGGGGAGGACATTGAGCCATAAATTTGAAAAATAAAAAAATAAAAATAATGGCTCCAGTTATTTCATTAGAACACTTTTATCAGGAAGCCATTACAAAAGCCACTTTATTCGCTGACGTTCAATTGTGTTCTTGTGAATTAAAACTAATTTGATGTGCTGACTAAATGATTTGTTTTAACAGAAAAGTATTAATGTAAACTACATTTCTTTTACTGTCTGACCGTATAATAATTTGTCCTGAACATGAATTGTTTTAATATAAACAAAATTTGTTTTACTCTCACACTTTAAATTGTGTTCATGTAAACTAACTTTGTCTTCAGCTATCGTAAAATGATTTATTCTTTCCTACTGACTATTCTGCTGACTGTTAATTATATAAATTTGAACTAAATTTGTTCCACTCTCTGACTAAATTGTTTTATCCAGGATATTAATTGTATTTAAATAAATGAAATATATTTATGTGACGGTTACTCAACTCATCTCAACTTCAGAATGTGCCAGACGGTGGCATGACAGACTTTGAAATGTTAGGAAGCTCTGGCTATGACTTTGAGAACGCACAGGTGCCGGTTGCTGATTCCTTTGGTGGGAGTGAATTCACCGTGAGATGGGAACATTTTTCATTAACCCCTTTCTGCTTATAGCATATCTGAGCATATATGTCCCATGTCACCTCATTTCACTATTATTGTCGTGTTTCTGTGTATAAATTCAGTATATGCATGTATGTGTATGTGGTTTTAATGTGTTCCAAGGTCTTCATACTTGAAAATAAGTTCTCTCTTTGTGATGTGTGATGGTGGGTTGAGTTGATTCAGGAACCTACATCACAGCATCCAGTGCATCCCATAAATGCTTTATCCCCATCATCAGCAGCTAGTGCGAAGTGCCAATACTAATGGTGCCAGTAGAAGTCTGGTTATATGTCCGTCTTGCCTTTCCTTTGAGCGTCAAGTATTGGCCAGACCCCCTTGTCACTCCCCGCTGCATCACACTTACTAATCATGGTGATCCATTTGCTCCTCAGAATTGTACACGTTCTCCCATAAGGCCTTGACCACGTCTCCTGTATCTTGCATTAGTATTCCACCAAGTTGTGCAGAGCCAACCAACTGTCCACCTGATTTTTTTCCCCAACACACTGGCATACCCAGATAAAATAACCAGGCAATGCTCCTCACCACTGAACTCTGAAGTGAAGCATGCCACTCTGTATGAAGCCTGCCTGTCCTCATCTTCCTCAACATGATTTCTGAGTCAGTTACATTCAGAATGTGTGAGTTGGGAAAGCAGAAATCAGCAGTGACCGCTTGTACTTCCATTTTAAGCTGGATATTATAGTATTATATGCAAGACTCCCCAGCACCAAACATCAACCATTAGCTTTTGCTAAGAACTCCCAAGCACTTCTTTTGCCTCTTGACACTGAACCTTCTGTATAAATAATCACATCACCTGATGTGATGTATCAGTACCTGATGTGATGTATCAATACCTAAGCAAGCATTATCTTGAGTGAATTGTTGAATTTCCACATCCATGGTACCACATGGTCACTCTCTGCACTCTCTGCTCAATGTGATTATGACTGGGCAAATCTGACTGTTCCGCTAGCACTCTGACCCATTCCTCTCTTCACCTAATATTATTTAGGATGCAATCTTGTCTCTTAGTGTCTTCTGCCTGAGCCATCTATGATTTCCCTCTTATTAGCCACTGACCCTTAACTGAGTCCAGAACTTCGTGCAAAAAGTGATCTGTGTCTGCAGCTACTCTGAGATATGACTTTGCCTGCAGAACCTTGAGCCTACCTGCAATAGTTGGTAAACCAAGGATGTATTGCATACACACCACTGGTGTGTCTCTAGTGCAGCCCAGAATGCCCACATAACTGCATTCTGTGTGCGCTCTAGTTTAACCATCTGACTTTGTGAGCATCCTGGTCCATAATCAATCACTGAAAGAATCAAGCGCTGATGTAGTGTGGAAATCCTTCTCTGCAGCCATTGTCTTAAGTGCATCTAGTCCTTTTTAGCATTTTGTCACAACCATTTTGGTAGTGGGATGGAAGGACCCTTTCTACCCCCATTGGTGGACCCACATATGATGCTAGACATCTGATTTCATAAACCAGTCTTTACTTAAATGGTGATGTTGACATCACACCAGTTACCAGAAGGGCAGATGGGGATAGCAGTTCATCTAAGAGAAGGAACTCTAATCACGAACCTTCATTGTCCATTAGATGGGTCTTTTTTTTAACTTCGGAAGCTCATCCTTTGAGAAAAACCGCGCTTGAGTTGGGGGTACCTGGCCAGTAAGCACAGGCAGTACAGAAGAAGAGGGTTACACAAGTGACTTGCAGAATACTGAGATGGTGTACAGTGTATTTTGGGCTCACACAGTTGTGACTGCTGAGACCACTCTACATTGAGTTTAGAAAATGTGAGTTTTGGGGCGATGTTTTTAAGCCACTTCAAGTGGCACACAGGATACTAAGATCGAATGTCTTGTTGAGTGTTTCCAGCTTTCCCATATATTATAGCTGACTATTTTGTTGTTGTTCTGTTGTGACACTGTAAAAATATTGTGTCTTGTCCAAGTGTATCTTTTACAGAACATCATTATTTGCTTTCTGAGCTCCTTATTAGCTTCATCGATGGTTGTCTCTATACTTCACTACTGGACCAACTAGTAATTTTATCAGTACCTTCTGTCAGAAGAATTCTCAGATTCTGGTTGTCTTTGTTGCCTCTTGGATTTTTTAACATTGTGCCACAATTCTGTCACAGCCTCTGATGGAACCATCACAATCTGTGATTGAACCAAGCACCTCTCTGCTTGTCAGACAGGGCTCAGACCACATCATTGCCAAAGCTGCATATATTTTAGTATAACTGTTGTGTGTGTGTGGGGTAAATAGCAGCAACATCACAGCACTCAGAACACATGCTTAAATTCTCTGTCTTTCTCAGCAGTTATTGACGTGTGCAGGTGCCAGGTGTGCATTAGCTCTGTAAACACCGGTCTTGTGTCCCTGCAATCAACATGTAGTTGTAGTAGTAGGAAACTTCCGGTCAAAGTTGACGCTAGGCACGGCCACTGTTTGGAATTTTTTGCTTCTTCCAGGCGGTGGCTGTTGCATTTTTGCTCCATTTGTAGACTGAAAGGATATAGTTTCATCGCCCAACTTCTAAGTTGAGTGCCTTGGCATGACACTGTGAGATGCGGATTTCATTTGGAATGTTTTTCTACTGTGACCAGCATGGTGGTGTGAATTGTAGATTCAGAAAATGGCGCAATGCCTGTTGTCACAATATTAGTGGTGCCATTATGTAATTAAAATTGTTAACACCACTCTCTCTATTTCCTGATTAGGTCTGTCCTCTACACCACTCTCTCTATTTCCTGATTGGGTCTGTCCTCTACACCACTCTCTTTACTTCCTGATTAGGCCTGTCCTTTACACCACTCTCTCTACTTCCTGATCAGGTTTGTCCTCTACACCACTCTCTCTACTTCCTGATCAGGTTTGTTCTCTACACCACTCTCTCTGTTTCCTGATCAGGTTTGTCCTCCACACCACTCTCTCTATTTCCTGATCAGGTTTGTCCTCTACACCACTCTCTCTACTTCCTGATCAGGTTTGTCCTCTACACCACTCTCTCTATTTCCTGATCAGGTTTGTCCTCTACACCACTCTCTCTACTTCCTGATCAGGTTTGTCCTCTACACCACTCTCTCTATTTCCTGATCAGGTTTGTCCTCTACACCACTCTCTCTATTTCCTGATCAGGTTTGTCCTCTACACCACTCTCTCTATTTCCTGATCAGGTTTGTCCTCTACACCACTCTCTCTATTTCCTGATCAGGTTTGTCCTCTACACCACTCTCTCTATTTCATGATCAGGTTTGTCCTCTACACCACTCTCTCTATTTCCTGATCAGGTTTGTCCTCTACACCACTCTCTCTATTTCCTGATCAGGTTTGTCCTCTACACCACTCTCTCTATTTCCTGATCAGGTTTGTCCTCTACACCACTCTCTCTATTTCCTGATCAGGTTTGTCCTCTACACCACTCTCTCTATTTCCTGATCAGTTTTGTCCTCTACACCACTCTCTCTACTTCCTGATCAGGTCTGTCCTCTACACCACTCTCTCTACTTCCTGATCAGGTTTGTCCTCTACACCACTCTCTCTATTTCCTGATCAGGTCTGTCCTCTACACCACTCTCTCTACTTCCTGATCAGGTTTGTCCTCTACACCACTCTCTCTATTTCCTGATCAGGTCTGTCCTCTACACCACTCTCTCTACTTCCTGATCAGGTTTGTCCTCTACACCACTCTCTGTGCCCAGGTTTTTTTGTCCACACCTTTCTTTACACCTTGTCTAGATATGAACTTTAGGCCATTGTCTGCTGTTCTTGGCCAGATTTTACCTCCATGCCAACCTGTTTTACCTGGCTAGGTTTGCCGTACACACTACCATCCACACTACCTGGCCAGGGTATTTTACATATGTCAGTTTTCATCTATACCATCCCCTATAATTTATATCAGTGTTCATACACTGCATACCCTATAAATTATATCTGTTTCTAATCTCATCCCCTATACATTTTATCAGGAAATCATCTATCCCATCCCCTATAAATTATGTCAATGTTTGTATATCACTCCCCTAAAAATGCAGCTCCATGGCTTGGAGGCTAGCAAATGTGGTTAACAATTTCGTGACCATCAAGTCCTGTGGTTCGTTCCTCACGGTGGACGAGTAAAAATCCGTTCTCCTGGTTTTCGACAATGGTACGAGAGTGGCAACGAGGAAGAGATTAGGACCTGACCACATAATGTTCCTAAAGAGAACAGTGATGCACTGTAGCCAACCTCCATTGTGAAGACGGCACTGAACCTAATAATATAAATTATTTCAATGTTCATTTATCCCATCGCATATAATTATTTCAATGTTCATATATCCCATGTCCTATCGGTTATGTCAGTGTTCAGTTTTATCCTCTCAACCTCATTAAGTATTCTCCCCAGCATGTTTACTTGCCCAATTGTACACTTTTTTCCTGCCATCCAGGGCAACCCTCTCTTGATTTGTAAACCTTTTATATTTTCCTGTCAATATGGTGGATAGACAGAATTACTGTTTTCAGTTAGGGACAGGTTTTTCTCCATCTGACATCAGTTAGTTGCTAAATTTCCCTCTATATGTAGACTAGGAGTTTACAGTTCCATCGGCCAGCTACTAAGTTAAGCGCATGGTGACACTGTGAGCTACAGATTTAATTTTGACTGTGCCAAACCTGGTTTCTATTTTGAACTGCAGATTCGGAAAATGGAGAATAGCCTGTGTCAGAGAACTGGTGCTGCCTTTTGTGATTAATGGCATGTGTAGCTGCTGATCTGTTGAAATAAAATGCTCAAAATTTAAAAAAATATAAATGGTGACCCTAAAGGTTTTTATATAAAGAATAGTTGCGAACTAGCTCAGTCTCTTATGAGATACTTCTGGCCAAACTAGAAGGGAACAGATTCATGAACACATTGGAGGACACAAGGACAAATCAATCAAGAGAATGAACAGGATTGAGGATGACCCACAAGGAAAATGTCAGGAAGATAAGAATTAGAGGGACACAGACTGGAAGGAGCGGTCAAGCTACTAGGATGGAAACTTTGAGCCAGAGAGCTGGCACACATACCACGATTTTAGCCTCACAAATAACTAGACCACATATATAACCAGAGACTGTTGGCAGCAGAGCAGATTGAATCTGGTCAAGCTTTTGATTTTTTTTTTTTTTTTCATAGAATAGATTGGAATGGAATCTGTTTTAATTGCTGCTTTTAACAACGAACTGCCTTTCTAGCATCAGACTGTTTGTACTGGCACTTCTGGCAGCTGCCTTATGCATTTAATATGCCAGGTGTGTTAAGGGTTTCACTTAGGCTGCAATCTAAGTAAAAAATTAAAAATAAAAATGTGCAGGGGACAGTGACAGATATTATGTGTGGTTTTTACCATCACAGGACTGGATCAACTGTGGGTTGACCTGTTATGCTATGTTGGAACTGCGATTACCTAAACTTCCAGATTTTATGAAGAGTAAAAGTATTTTGTCTTATTATAAGTAGCAATCATATGTCATATGTTGGTGGCACACTCATAGAGACCTCTGTTCTTTCATCTCCTCATGCTATCTTCCATGACTGCCCATTTCTTGCTTGCCTGCCATTTATTTACCTTTTTGTAACGTTTTTATGAAATGTCCTGTCCAGTCACTCAAAAAATGATTTCTTACAAGTACATTTAAGGCCATCCATTTTACAGATCTGGATTTTTTATTGGCAGACTGTGGGTAACTTGCCTCTCAGGCAGATGTACTCCAATTTCAAAGGCAAAGCATGTTTAGTCTACTCTTGTGACATGCTTGTTAGGGAGGCAGTGAGCCTATTCTGGTTGTTTTTCTTCTTCATACAGGGCTGTGGAACCCACAGAGAAAAGCTCAGATATTATTTTCCAATGATTAGAAGTTCATGACTTACACCATCCATATACGTTGCCACAGTGTCTTAACTCTTTGAGTCCCAGGGGGTTTAGCATCACAGGCCCAAGGGGTAGTCAAGAAAGACGTAAAATCGGCACATCTTGCCCTAATTGGGCTTCTAGGTAGGAATCTATAAACGTATGATGCATTCCTTGGGACTCAAAGAGTTAAGCAGCCACTAAGGAATGTAGACTGTAGTAGCCAAACTGTAGAATCCCATGAATCATGAACAAGCCCACAAACATCTTGACCTGAGTTTGCTAAAAGTCTGTGCCTCGTTAGGACATTTAAGACAGAAAAAGGTGTATTTCACCAATCTATGTATTTTCCACCCTTGGTTGACTGTTTACTCCCAGTTCCTCGTTTGTCTATATTTGTCTTCACTTAACATAAGCTAAAAATAATAGCAGAAGGCATAGTGTCATATAAGAAGAGCAGGGGATGATAAGCATGAAAATGGGCACAGGATATAAGTGTCCTTAGGGTATGAAAGTGCACAAGGTGGGAGAGCTGACAAGAGACCTAGTTTCTTTCAAGCAGACCATGATGAGAGCAGTGTTCTTCAAAGGACCTGCTACTTGATAAACACAAGCTACGTACGACTTGGAAATAGGGGGGTGCATACAACATACACAGGAACAATGAAACCAAAGTCTTTATCAGTGAGCACCACACAGTGAGTACCACAAGAAGAAGATTCATAGACACCAGCATTGACAGGGAAATCACACCCCCCAAAAAAAAACTAAACCCCTCATCCTCAGCATTCCAAACCCTTAGCTTAATTGTCGCAGATATCAACCCTATCCATTCATCTCTGATTGGAATAGCTACAGCGGAGTATGAAATATAGGATTAGAAACAGATGTTGCAAAATGTAACGTAAATAAAAGAACACAAATGTATAAATGCTGTCACTTATCCCCCACTGCCTCCCCTTTTCATTGAGCGTCAAAGTTCTTCTTGGCAAAGATTTGACATATCAGCATTCAGGACAAGCCCCTATTAGCTCCGTCTCCCGCTTCAGCAGCCAGCAAAGGGTCTCCATACCGATGGTACCCATTATCATCTGGGTTAACTACTCGTCTTGCCTTTACCCCAAGTCTTTGAGTCAAAGTTGTGTTTAGTGAATTCAGTTTTTTTTAAATTCCAGTTGAGTGCCGTTACACTGTTTTCATCACTTATATATTTTACATTTGCCTGCCTGTTTCCACAGTTGCAGTATGTTCTGCCGTCACCCTGTTTTCATCACTTGTATCTTCTACATTTGCCTGCCTGTTTCCACAGTTGCAGTAGGTTCTGCCGTCACCCTGTTTTCATCACTTGTATATTCTACATTTTTCTGTCTGTTTCCACAGTTGCTGTATATCCTGTTCCAGGGCCTATGATTTTCTGACAGCTTGTTCGTTGTCCACGCTTCTGCACTATACAGTAGTATTAAAAGATATATTTGACTACTCACTGTTTTTAAGTTGTATAAAAAGCACAAAGACTAGTAGCTAACCTCATTGAGTATATTCACTGGTTAGATTTTCATTTACTTGTAACACTTTATTGTTAAAACTAACACGGTAGCAGTAGAGGTATATGTAACATGTTTTTTTGTGTAACTCAATAACACACACCACACAGAAGACACTTGATGGTGATACACAGTTGTATGTGGTAAAGACGTATCAGAATTAAACAAGTAAATAACTTTCCCTGAAGAATGAACGTCCGTCCCTTCCTTTGGTATAGTCAAGAAAAATTGATAGTTTTGCCTTCTCTATTCCTCTTTGTGTTAACTGAATGTTTTAACAATATTCTGTTGCATATAGTAGAACCTTTCTCACTCTATCAGGAGCCGCCATGGTGTTGCACGGATCTGAAGGTCATGGATTCTGGTCCTGATGGAGCCAGGCTTGAATTTTTTTTTTTTTAATGACACCTTGGCTTCTAGGTTAATCCAGCCTTAGATGGGTACCAGGTAAAGTCCTGGAAAGTAAAGACGGCCAGCGTGGTGTTGACCACATCACCTACAGAGTGCTGATTAGTCTGTTAATTGTTGGTCTAGCCCTGTATGCCCGATATGCCTAAAATGGAAAAAGCATCCTCTACTTACTTTACTCTCCCTCTCCATCAAATAATGATATGCTTCCTTTCTTACTCTGTCACGTAGTAGAATCCTATTTTTTCCTGTCACATAGTGAAATATTTCCTTTCTTCTTCACCATCATCTTGTAACATTTGTACTTTACATAGAGCTCGCAGTCTTCTCCATTCACTGTGATAGACCAGTCATCCCCATGTGGGATGCAGTTGTTTGTTAAATGAAGCCCCACCCTGGCTTCTGCAGAGGCCTGAGTATAGCCGGGGCCTTTGATATGGCCTAACGGCTAAAAATGGTTTCTGGGACCTCTCCACAGGTGATCCTTATCCTCATGGTGGCACTTTGTGTCACCAGGTGTTTATCACTTGTGTGTTGTCCTGGTGGGGTACAACTACCTACTGGCCTCCTCCATTCACTTCTATCCTGCACAGTCCTTTTGATGTAGATGGAATCCAATCCAGCACCTTTGGCCTGTCTCATCATCATGTCCTTCATGTTCTCTGGGACATCCTTGTTTCCTTGATCTTTTTTTTTTTTCCATTTCAGAGTCTGATTGGTGAATCTCTGTTCTCTTCTCCTCATGTCTTATAGCTGTTGATACCAGCAGTTGCCATGACATCCCTTCCTTTCTTACCTTATCATGTAGTGAAAGGTCAGCATGAAGGTTCCAGGGTCCCATTTTTCATGTGTATGTGGGGGGGGGGGGGGGGTGTTAGACCCACTGCCCCCTAACAAGCTTGTGGTAAAAGGTAACCAATTATGTGTTTTCCTTCAAAGTTGGGAGTACCCGAGAGGCCGGGAACTAAAAGTCTGCACACAGATAAGCTAGATATGTAAAACGGATGTGCAAAAAAATCATTTTCTGGAACAAAACTAAAGTTAAGACGTGGACAAACAACTAGAACTTTATACCCAAGTTTACAACCAGTCAACACTATGAAGAAGAAGATAAAGTGAAATTCATCCACTTTAATCATATCGCATAGTGGAATTATTCCTGTCTTATCACATATTAGCATTCTATCATTCCATTTTCATACGACAAAAACTTGCTTTCCACTGCGACCACATATTAAATTCCTGCTACATTTTTGCTTCCTATTTTGACAAACAGTGTGAGCATTCTGTCAGAAGTCTTGTTTTTTTTCTTTTTCTTTCTCAGTCCAATGGACCAAGCAACATGTACGAGGCCATCTCCCAACAAGACACAGCCCGAGCTGTCCCAGAGAAGATTCAAATCTGGCAAGAGGAGCAGAAGGCAAGGCTGGAGAAGAAAGGTGCCAATTACTGTAGTCATTTTTTTTTTTTAATTCTCCTTTACTTTCTATTCTACCAGTGTCAGGAAAGATAACAGATGCTACTTCTTGCTGTTTTGGCTGCCTCAGTCATAGATCTTCTTCTGCATTCACTCTTAAAAGGGCAGTTGACATATTTTGTGGTTTCCAGCTAGGCTGTGATATCTGCCTTTCAGCCCTACACTTCCTGTTTTGGCAAACCCTTTATTGGCTGCCTTTTACAACATGTTTGTTATGGAGCAGTAGTCTGTTCTTTTAGCCCCAAAAGATGGGACCCTAAAACCCACAACGGGGATATGCACATCTTAATTGATGCCCCAGTGATTGTTTTATTTTCCATTTATTGTAGTCTCAAAAAACATCATCTTAGCTACCTCCAATTCTTCACCATTGTATTCCTCATTGGCCAACATTCACATCCATACAGAAGCAAATAGCGTTTCTATTAGCTGATTTGTTCGTAATTGTGTTACTGTATTATTTTGTTTCAATTTTTTACACAGTATTTCTTCTTTGCGTTCACCAGCTGTAAACTCTTGTGGAGAGTTCTGGTTATTTGTTCAGTTATGGGTTTTGGTCTTTGGTTCCTCATCTCAGGCAGATGCATTCTAACTTCCAAGAAAACACGGCTGATTGTTCAACTTGTACGACATGGTTGCGGAAAGTTCTGATTGTTTCCCCAGTTAGGGACTTTGGTCTTGAGTTTTGCGTGCACATCCATTTTACAGAGCTGGCGTATTTGTATGCATACTGTTGGTTCCTCATGTCGGGCAGATACATTCTAACTTCCAAGAAAACACATTTGATAAGTTAACTGGGGGGGGGGGGGGCTGAGAGTATAATTTTTTTCTTCAAAATGGGGGTATTGGAAGGCGCATGGGGATTACATTGAATACCACAATATCGTCATATCAGAGCCAGTTTATTTTTTTGTTGTTTTGTTTCTTGTCCTCATTCTGCTGATAGAAGCTAATTACTGCAACATTCTTTGTTGGTTTATTTGTATTGCTTCTGTAAACCTGACTTGTGCCTCGTGTTTTTCCTGCTCTTGTTTTTATAGTTTCGCTCATTCTTCTGAAGAATCAGAACATTGATGGGACTCATTGAAATGTATGTTGAAATAATCTTGCATCCAGATGCTGAGGAAGAGTTGCGCAAGAAGGAGCTGAAGGAGAAGGCAAAGAAAGAACTAGAAGATTGGTACAAGCATCATGCAGAACAGCTGGAGAAGACAAAAGAAAACAACAGGTACAATTATCAACAGTAAATGCTTGTGTCAGAAACATCTTAAAAACTGTATTAAAATAAAGATAAATTACATTTGAAATAACAATGTGCAACTTTACCTTACCTTTCTTTCACTTGTACCTTTTGTTTAAGTTCTTGTTTCAGTCAGATATCACAGGCATTAATTTGGTTATATGTTTGTTTGAAAATAATTATCCTGGTCGTTAAAATTGACCTGACCGTTTAAATTGCTGTAAGTAGATTCATCGTTATCATCATCCCATAACACTGCCAGTCAGTGGGTCACCAGTTACTGTTGACTGACTGATCAGCTCCTTCTACTGGTCAGCTGCGATGGTCTTTATGGTTGCGTGCCTAAAGCCTGTACAGCAAGTCATCTGTAACCAAATCTTTCTTGGTGTGCCTTTTCTCCCCATCCCCCTCTACTGAGCCCTGTAGTATTCTTTTTGAGAGGCCATTAGATATTATTATATGTCCATACCATTGCATTTTCTGTCTTTTTAATGTAGTTTTAAAAAAAAGTTATTAGTTGTGAATATCCTGGGTAATTACACACTGAACTTCATTATTTGTGATTCAGTCTCTCTGTGATATGCCAGGAATTTTTCAGAAAGATCACTTTTCTAATGACATTTTTCAGTGTGGGGGGGGGGGCGGCAAACTTTTATTCAGGTTACACCTGGCACCAGTAGTATAGAAACTCTTCACTGGCAACTGGGGAATGTTCCCAATGCAGAGAGAACAGTTCTGGATTTTGGGAAACAAACAGTGGATGTAACCAAGAAAACTATCTGTCAGTGTCTTCATGCTAAACAGACCCCAGAATCTGTCTTGTTTTGCAAAATTGTCCTGTACTGGAGGAGCTTTGAAGCAACATTTGGCCTCATCTATTGGACCTGACAACTAAGCTTTGGAGATCTCCAGCTGAAAGTCCACTTTATGGTCCATGGTGGTTTCAGCACATGACCAGATATAGCTGAAGATGAAGACTTCTTGACTGATTTATTGATTGTTTCATTTTAATTAAAAAACAAAAACAGGTGACCAGATTTATTGAGGGAGAAGACCATATATTAACATATTTATATGTGTAACCATCAATGTTACTTCTCAGGAAACATAATGACGTAACCGAATCTCAAGGGTATGACTTTCTGAATACAAACACATATTGGATTTTGTGTCATTTGTCTGTTTGATGTCGTCATGTGTATGTAGCGGTATATAGTGGACAGTCGGTGTTTCTTTTGTTTACATACATAAACTTTCACTATTGTGTGTAGGCAATTATTTCCCCCTTTCTTTGGTTTCTTTATGTGTAATTGTTGCATTGGAGTAGAGGAGGTCTGATGTCCACTTTTAAATTGTGTTGGTTTAATTCAAGTGACCTTAGTATTTCATTAAAATCTGTTAAGACCAGTCTGAGGATGTAAGATGTCTCCAGATTGTTTTGTTAGTTTTCTAGTAAATTAAGTGTTCTGTTTACGGGTCTGTTGGTGGATTTGTTTCAGCACGAGCTTGTCTCCTGAATTGATCCAGGCTTAAATAAGTTTCTGGATAGAGAAGGCGGTTGGTGTGAAATTGACCTAATCACCACTTGAGCATCTTTTGGTCTATTTTTTTTTTTTATATCCACAAACTATGAGTTGTTAACCCTTTGTCTCGGTACTATGGATATCGCAACCCTTCGGCCTTGATTCCATGATAGGTACCGTAAATCTGGGAGAAAATGTGGCTTTTCTGCCTACCCCTGGGAGTGAACCCGGACCACAAAGAGTTTGTCACTTGGTCACCACGCAGTCTGGTTTAGCCAACTATGCAGCAGAGCCGGGCTTTTTGGTCTATAAAAAGAATATGTCTGCCTCCATGGTGTAGCGGCTAGATGCTCACCTGGGGATCTGAAGATCATGGGTTCAGTTGCTGATGGAGCCAGATTTTTTTTTTTTTTTAAAACAATTGACCTTGTCTCTCATGTTGACCCAGCCTTAAGTGAGTACCAGGTAAAGTTCTGGGATCTGAAGCCAGCTGGCGTGATGTTGACCACATCAGTCACTGAGTGCCGATTGGTCCATAAAGTATAGGTCTAGCCCTCTATACCCAATATGCCTGAAGGTGTGAAATGGAGTCCTTTACTTTTACTGTGTGTGCCTGATGCACCAACAGTTCAGGAAAAAGGGTCCTTTACTTTTACTGTGTGCCTGATGCACCAACAGTTAGGGAAATTGGTCCTTTACTTTTACTGTGTGCCTGATGCACCAAAAGTTAGGGAAATTGGTCCTTTACTTTTACTGTGTGTGCCTGATGCACCAAAAGTTAGGGAAATTGGTCCTTTACTTTTACTGTGTGTGCCTGATGCACCAAAAGTTAGGGAAATTGGTCCTTTACTTTTACTGTGTGTGCCTGATGCACCAAAAGTTAGGGAAATTGGTCCTTTACTTTTACTGTGTGCCTGATGCACCAAAAGTTAGGGAAATTGGTCCTTTACTTTTACTGTGTGCCAGATGCACCAAAAGTTAGGGAAATTGGTCCTTTACTTTTACTGTGTGCCAGATGCACCAACAGTTCAGGAAAAAGGGTCCTTTACTTTTACTGTGTGCCAGATGCACCAAAAGTTAGGGAAATTGGTCCTTTACTTTTACTGTGTGCCTGATGCACCAAAAGTTAGGGACATTGGTCCTTTACTTTTACTGTGTGCCTGATGCACCAAAAGTTAGGGAAATTGGTCCCCTTACTTTTACTGTGTGCCTGATGCACCAAAAGTTAGGGAAATTGGTCCTTTACTTTTACTGTGTGTCTGATGCACCAAAAGTTAGGGAAATTGGTCCTTTACCTTTACTGTGTGCCTGATGCACCAACAGTTCAAGAAAAAGGGTCCTTTACTTTTACTGTGTGCCTGATGCACTTAAGGTTAGGGAAAAGGTTCCTTTACTTTTCTTGTGTGCCTGATGTGCCAAGAGTTGAGGGGAAAAGGGTCCTTTATTTTTACTGTGTGCCTGATGCACCACGGTGGGAGGCACTTTGTGGTGAGTACCGCCACCTTTTATTAGACACTTTTTGGTGAGTACCTGCACATTTTTCCCCTTTTCCTAGGGAAATAGCCATATTCGTAGTACATCTGTTAGTACCTGGTTAGCACACTTTTTTCTTTAACACAAACTTGGTTATTTGGTTCCTTGGAAACCATGTTAACAAGGTTTTACTGTATATGGATCTCTCAGGAGCTGTGATAACCCAGTGGCTAGGTGTTTGTCTTGGGTTCAAGTCCACATTGAGCCAGATTTAGAAATAAAAAAATTACTGATCTTGACTTGAAGCTGACTAAAATGGATACCAGGAAAAGTACTCAGAAGTTAAGGGGCCCTTGCAGTGTTGACAAATCACCTGTCAAGTACTGATTAGTCTATAAAAATGAGGTCTAGCACTGTATGCCTGATGCCACTCTGGGGTGAAACCAGCCCTTTATTCCTTTTTGTATTGGATTCTGTTTTTGGGATGTTCATTGTACTTGTTTTTCTGTATACTGTATTTGCATCCTTGCGGCCAACATATCTGATTGGGCATCAGGCAGGTACCTGGCCTTTTCGGATAGATTGTTGTGTATCCGCAATAGGACGTTGCAGAACCAACCCCAACAGCCCCTGACTGTTGTGTAGTTTTTCTAGGCAAATTTACATCCAGTAGTTTATTTTCGGATAAGGGGAGTAAAAATGTATGGTCGGTTTTGCAGATTATGTTGATTCTTATGTATCAAATAATGTACCATATGTCCATCTGATGCCTCTGCGACACATATTTCTGTGTGCCCAAACTAACTTACTTAGTCGTTTCTCTTCTACCTTGGGATGTAGAGGTGTTGCCAAAAAGATCACCAGACTTCTCTGTCAGCTGTTTTCTTTTTAGCTTTGCTCCATTCGAATCTTCTGTCAATCATGAACTGTCGCCGATATTGTACCTGAACTATTACAAATAGGCCACTGTTTCTGAGACATTGCCTGGATGTCTTCTGTTCCATACACATGTTACTTTGTCTTCTCTGTTCCATATATTTCTGACATTAATGTCATCTATTCCATACATTTCATACTTTACAATAATCTTTTGCTTACATTTCTTACTTTAGTGTTATCTGCTCTGTATATTTCTTACTCTAATTTCTTCTGTTCCATACATTTGTTATCTTTGTGTTTCATTTTTTTCTTACTTTAATGCCTTCTTTGCCAAACGTTTCTGACTTTATTGTCATCTGATCCATACATTGCTTAAGTAATGTCATCTGTTCGATACATTTCCTACTTGATCATCTGTTCTATAAACATTTCTTACTTTTTTTGTCATTTGTTCTATACATTTCCTACTTTATTGTCATCTGTTCTATACATTTCTTTTTTTTTTTGTCATTTGTTCTATACATTTCATACTTTATTTGTTATCTGTTCTATACATTTCTTATTTTTTTGTCATTTGTTTTATACATTTCCTACTCTATTGTCATCTGTTCCATACATTACTTACTTTAATGTCATCTGTTCCATACATTACTTACATTAATGCCATCTGTTCCATACATTGCTTACATTAATGTCATCAATTCCATACATCACTTACATTTATGTCATCTGTTCCATACATCGCTTACATTAATGTCATCTGTTCCATTCATTGCTTACATTTATGTCATCTGTTCCATACATCGCTTACATTAATGTAATCAATTCCATACATTTCTTACTTTATTATCAACTGTTCTATACATTTCTTACTTTAATTTCCTCCATTACCTATATTTCCAATTTTTATGTTCCATTTATTTCATACTCAGTTATCTTTTGTTCCATATTTTTCTTACCTTTATGTCTTTCAGTTCTGTTCATTTTTTACTTGTATGTCATCTGTGCCATACATTTCTTACTTTTGAGGTTTCTGTTTTGTACATTTCCTAATTTAATGTCTTCCTAACTCAAACTCTGCTGCCCCTGAAAAGTCGTAAAAATCAACATTTCCCTTTGGGTGTTCATTGCCCCATTAATGCTGCTTTACTGACTTGCTACAGTGGCTTGTAAAGAGGTCATGGTAACAGGACTTTCATTTGTGCCTTACTTTACAGTAATTTTTTTCCTTAATTTAAGCTTTAAACGTCTTCTGTTTGATACGTTTCTAACTAACCTACTTTACGCTTTTTGTTAGTTTAACTGAAAACTAATAGATGGCTACTTTAATGCAATGCTTGCCTGAGACTGAAAGAGTTACAAGTACTGTGTCAGTTAGACATTTTTAAGAGTAGGCTTTCTGGTGATTTCCATGCCAGAGTTTTAAAATGAATTACTTCAGCAACCAAAGTTACAACATTTTGTTCTTTTTTTTTTCCAGTACAAACTTTTAGATCAGTGCTGGGCTAGGGTTAAAGGGTTGGTGCACTGACCTAAGGGCTTCTAATGTGATCTGAAGAAGTATGTCAGGGGCGAAAATCTTTGCACACATTCATTCTTCCTTACTTTATTTTTTTTCCTCTGTGCTGTATTTTCCATCGACTTCTGACTAATTTCTGGCAAGCTGTTCTTTTTTCTTTTTCTTCTTCATGTTCACTGGCTGTAAAATTTGGTGGACAGTTCTGGTTATTCGTTCATCTTTAGACTTAGTTTTTGTTTCAGAACCTGCGTGTACATCCCTTTTTATAGGTCTGACTTATTTGTGTGTAGTTTGTTAGTTCCTTGCCTCTCAGGCAGATGAACTCCGACTTCAAAATAAAGCTCCCAGCTAGTTGACTCTTACGGCATTCTTGTTGGAGAGGCAGTGGATCTGTTCTTGTTTTTTCTCTCTCCATATTCTTGTTTTTTCCCATTGTTTCTCATGGTCGACCTAACCTTAAATGGGTAGCAAATAACGTCCTGCAAAAGTAAATGCAGCCATCACAATGTTCACCATAACATCCAGCTGAAAGACTTGGATTGCATAGCTATAAACCACAGTGTAACATGACAACCACAATATAAGGGTGGACACAGGAAGATGATGATTGAATGCTGCCTTTGTGTCAATTATTCAGCATGTTATTTCTGTGTTATTGTCACACACACACCCCCCCCCCCCCCCCTCTCTTCCCCCAACAGGATGGCGTTTTTCTTTCACTGTACATTTTAACTACATTTTTTTTTCTGTCCTGATCACAGTTCTGTCTTTATGGCTTTGTACCTTTCTTTCCCTAATTGTCCTTGTGATATTTTAATTTTCATTTCTTGCAGTTAGCTATAGTTTTCAGTTTTCCTGTTGTCAAATAGTCTTAGTTCTCCTTCTCTTCCTATATTTCTGTAAGTGCAGATCATTGCATGTATTGTATGATTTTCAGTTATGTCTGATATTGCATGAGATACTGTTGTTACTGTGTTGATTGTGGTAACTGGTCAGCTGTTCTTTATTGTGTTTCATTTACATACAAGCTGTTTCTTCTCATTTCTTTTGTACATTTAATTGTTTGCAAATGGGTTGACCCTAATGTGACCTGGTATTTCTCCATGTTAAGTGCCGGGTGTTTCTGTCTTGTTGAGTTGTCATATATTAATTATTAGGATCTTTTTTTACTCTGTGTAAGTTCCAGGGCTTTCATTTTGTGATGAGGAGTGTGTGAGGGATCCTTACTGCCTTCTTATAAGCATGTAGTAAAATTACTAATTAAGGTTTGCTTTGTTATACCAAAATAACTTAAGAAATCACAGCCTTCCTGTATACCACAGTGCAACGGGCTGACTACCCTTTAACGGGCGAACAAAGAATAAAAGAAATTCCCTTTAAGTCAGGGATTTTGTTTTGTTGATGTGAACTCTTGGGTTAACCCATTTGAAAATGGGTACATAGACATTTCCTAGCTCCTTTAAGTATTATTAGATTTGGCAAGGTATTCCCAAAGGTAGCAATAGCCACAGTGAATATAAATTGTGATAACCTGACTATCTCAGACATAGCAACACATATACCTATTTAGTAATGGTCCCTTTTACACGCCTTTAGGCATATAGGGCATTTAGAGCTAGACCTATATTTTTATAGACCAATCGGCACAAGATGGGTGATGTGGTCAGTATCCCGCCGGCTGCCTTTACTTCCTGTGACTGCACCTGGTACCCACTCAAAGCTGGGTTGATCTAGGAGCCAAGGTAATTTTTTTTTTTAAAGTCTGGCTCCGCCAGGGAGCGAACCTATTACCTTCCGATCCACATGCGAGTGGCTAGCTGCAACGCCACTGCGACTCCCACATTCATTAAGGTGGGGCATTAAAATAACTAGTTAGGTTTCTGTAGTTTGCTTAGCCTAAAAAACAGATCAATGGAAATAGCTGATCACACGTGGTATGTTGGTTGAAACTGAAAAGGCAATTTTCACAGTATTGACATCATTTCATCACAGAGTGCTGATTGGTCTACAAATATTGACTAGCACATATACACAGTATATCACTTGTGAAAACCTGGTCCTTGTTTACTTGATTCCACCCTGGAGATGCCACCATAGTGGATAGGTTTTCTGTTCATAGTGGCTAGAAGGTGTTTCTGTTCATAGTGGCTAGAAGGTGTTTCTGTTCATAGTGGCTAGAAGGTGTTTCTGTTCATTGTGGCTAGAAGGTGTTTCTGTTCATAGTGGCTAGAAAGTGTTTCTGTTCATAGTGGCTAGAAGGAATTTTTTTCTGTTCATAGTGGCTAGAAGGTGTTTCTGTTCATAGTGGCTAGAAGGTGTTTCTGTTCATAGTGGCTAGAAGGTGTTTCTGTTCATAGTGGCTAGAAGGTGTTTCTGTTCATAGTGGCTAGAAGGTCTTTTTCCTCCTCCAGCTTAGTGTACTCCAGTTTTCTCCTTCTCATGACATGACTAAAGAATGTATATTCTCTTCTCCTGGTCCCAGCTGTATCCAGCCTAAAATGAGTACTAGTATATGTCTTAGAAAGTAGATGACATGGTACAATGACACCACTTCTCACTTACAGACACACTTATGAAACATCCCTGAGATTCTCTAAAAAGCATTTCAAGAACAACCTCTGACGTAGTTCATCACACACACACACACACACATTTGAACCACATTACCTATCCAATGCTGATTGATTTATTCACATATGCAAAGCAGCATTAGCCAGGTGTGTTGCTGACAGGCAGATGATCCTGACTTACTTTCAGGCACCGTTTGTGCCAACAGTAAGCTGCAGTTCTTCTGTGGGACTGTTAGTGTTGGCACATCTGACAGCTGAATTATTTATTTGTACTTTGTGTGTTGTGCTAACTTCAAGGTTTGCTGGTACTGACAAATTTTTCGCTAGTTTTCAAAATGGAACAGTGAAGGGCATTTTGTGTGATTTCCGCTGGCACAGATACTGAGCAGTTTACGGGGGGGGGGGGGGGCTCATCTGAAGTGATGTTGGAACTGTGACTAACAACTCAACTTTCAGGTGCACGTTAAGTCCGGTGTCTTTCGTACCACTTCATCATCACACTTGCTTTGTTCCGAAACCTACTATATTGAAATAAATGTGGTGGTTTTTCGTTTCCCTCTATTTCAACTTAATGAATTTGCATGCCATAAATATTATATCATGGGTTAAGTTTTTTTTCATTAAAGGAAAGGTAGTGACAACTAACTCTTTATAACATTTAACTATAACAAGGGGTCAGTAACAAATAACTGTGTATAACTCACCACTGTCATGAGACATGAAAAATGCAAATTTGTAACTCTTTCAGTCCCAGGCATGTGTTTCAGTGACTTTGTGTATTTTAAACAGGTGTTGCTTAAAGTTATAAGTGTTTGAGTCTGAAGAGGTTGCAGTTATAATACGAGAGAGTTTCAGATGAAAACCTTGAAGTGTGATAAAAATTACAGTAGCCATGCCATTGTTTTGTAACCTATCTTTATTGTTGTTAAGGATGTCAAGAGTGTTAAGCACATGAAATCACCGTACAGACAAATATTGTGATATTATAACAACAGTTTGAAGATGGCTGCCCCACTTTTGACATGCACCAAAGAGGAACAGCTTCTGTGATTTGTGTTTTTTTTTTTTTTTGGTAAGAACTGGAACCTGTATAAAATCCAGGACAAATGAAGGTCCAGTATGGTAGTCTACCTGTCAGTCCAACAAGTGTATGAGTGGAGTAGGAAGTGTTGAAAACAGCATGACTTCTGTCAGAATGTTCACGACTGGGTCAGGCATATTGAGTAGTGACCCCAGGATCAATTGCAGTCAACTAGATTTTGTAGTCAGCATCACGCTGGCCACCTTTTCATCCCAGGATATTACACGGTTCCCATTTTAGGGTGGCTGAACCTCATAACTGTCAGTTTTTTTACTTAAGGGGTCCCGGGAAGTTAGTATCCTTCATATTTTCTATCCAGGTTATGCCGGTGTGTTGGGAAATGAGCAGGCAGATAGACTGGCAGGTTCTGCACCACTTGGTGGTGAATTGATGTATGACAAGCTAGACATTGTGAGGGCCCTCTGAGAACCAGTGAACAGTGCAGAAGCGCAAATAGATCATTACGGTCTGAGAAGAATGGCGCTGCGAGACTCAAGAGAATGGTGAGACGGATATACAATCAGACAATTACTGGTGCCATCAAAATTTGAACTCCTTATTTGCTGCTGAAGATGTGGACGGAGCACTTATGGGGGTGTCCCGAGTGCTATGTTGTTGATTCTTAATTCAACATTCATTCAACTGACATTTTTTTTTTTAATACCTTAAGCCTTCTTGCTGGCAGGCAAGCCAACACATGATAAATTTGAACTCATTGAAATTTAAATTTTTTTTTTTCCATATTAGGGCTGCTGAGGCAGCTTTCATTAAAGACAGAGATGAATCAATTCCTGGCCAGGCTTGGGAGAAAATCACCCGCTTGTGTGAGTTCAACCCAAAGAACTCCAAATGCACCAAGGATGTGACGAGATTCCGATCGCTGCTGCTACAGCTCAAACAGACTCCATTGGTGCGCTAGTTCCCGTCACCTGCAGAATGATGAAGTCATTTTTATGTTGGCTGTTAGTTCCTGTAGTTACACTAAACCATTTTTTTTTATGTGGATGAAGTTGGTTGTTGGTTGTAATCCTTGCTGAATGGGGGAAGGCATTTAAAGTAATTTAGAGGGAGATGACTGTTTTATGTTTGTAATACTCATGCCAAGTTATTCATTTTGAAGACATGACACTTTTTAAAAACCCTTCTGCGCTGCAAAAATCTGTAAAAATGACTTTTTCAAAAACACAGAATATCTTCTTCTTTCATTCGCTTCACACAGTTTTCACCACTGGTAGAAAACCACATGAAGGGATAAAATATAAAACACAAAGGTAGCAGACAGTACATCATAGTAATGTGCAAGTGACTAAAATACAGTTCATTTTTTCACGCCAGCGCCCCCTTTTTTAAATCCTTTAAACACTTTGTTTAGTAAATATAATCATGCCGGGCCCAGCTAAATACTGTGCAGTTGCAAATGGTACCAAAATTTGTTTATAGGCCTAGGGTCGACTGCAGTACCAAAGTTTTTGCACAAGCTGCCCAGCAGATCCCCACAAGCTGCAAAAAAGGCACTCCTAGAGTGATGAGGTTTGAGGTTTTGAACAACGGATCAACATCATATCATGGCACACGGGTAGTAACCCACAAGTGCTCCGTTCTTCTTCTAACTCAAGTCTGAGTCCGAAGAAGCTCAGCATCGTGCACAGGCTCTGTAGCACCGGTGAGGATTCTGAAATACTTTGGGTAGATTTTAAACTCAATTTTGCCAGGTCAGCGCCGTTAGGATACTCTTTTCGATTTCAAACTGCCAAGGGATTTTTTATGTGCACAACAATTCACATTGGTGTCCGATCTCAATACCCAGAGACAAGAGGAAATTACTAGAAGTCCATGTCCACGTGAAAAAATTCCAGCCCTTACCAGGGATTGAACCCAGAACCTCTACACCATGCCTCGAGACCACACAACCCCCCTCCACCCCCACAAGGTTGAAAACTGAGAGTGAGGAGGCTGCAAATAGATTTGTTCTTTAGAAGTTTGTTTGGTGGTATTTCTTTGCCTTCGGTTCACACAAGAGATTTTTAATTAAATATGGAAATAATAAATGGAAGAAAGAAATTGCAAAAGAAGTAACTGTCAAGTCATGGTGGTAGGGGAAATAATTGAAGGAGCGCTAGATTGTAAACATTGGATTTATTTATGTTTTGTTTTATTTTAAAATGTATTGTTTAGATGTGAACATACTAGCAGAGAGAATACATTGGGGAAATATAATTCATAATAATACAAAGACAGCAACAGTTATTGAAGGAACACAACATAGAAAGCTGTTTTATTAGATTGAAAGCAGTGTAATTGTTTCAAATAACAAGGATGTATTTTGGAGAGGTAGTTAACTGCATCTTTGAACACATTTCCACACCCACAAAGAATATAGGGCTACAAAGTTGTGTTTCTGGAAGAGAAAGGAGAATATTAACAAAAATCATGTCTAAACTTGTCAAGAAATCAAAGACTTTCTGCTGACACCCGGAAGGAAAGATGCCAAATCTGTTACGTTGAAGAGAAAAAAAAACAAGAACAGTTTCAGGTTCAAGGATTGCTGCCGCAGATATCCATAGACAGTTGTGATCTCAGGCAGAGAGAAGGCAAAGAAGCTGAAACTGTCATTGCCTTCAAGTCTGGCATAAAAGCGCTTAAGTTAAATAAAAGAAGAAATCATTTGCAATCTTTTGTTGTTTCTGAAATCATCGCTGATGTAGTTGTTTGTAGAATTTGTAATCGTTGGGTGTCTCAATAAAACTTGTGTATGGCGGAGTACTAGGATTTGATTCTGTTAGATTCACATTTGAAAAGCGGCTCTTTGGGTCACTGTGTGTGTTTTAGGCTGCAAACTTGGAGAGGGGGGAAATTTTTTTATACTACAATTGTAAAATCAGGACTTCCATGGCTTAGGTGTTGCAAGTCCGACTCGTAATTCCAACGTGCCACGATCAAAACCTATCGCTGGCTGCGCGGATTTTTATCATGGTGTGGGGCGTCCCTGGTCGACCCAGCCTAAAATGGGTACGAGGATGTATATCCTGATAAAGTAAAGACGACCAGCGTAAGGCTGACCACATTACCCACCTAGTGCCGATTTGTCTGTAAAAATATTGGTGCTCTTCCCATGTGCCCGATGCTCCTAAAGGCATGAAAAGAAATCTTTACTTACTACATTGTAAAATCAGATAAGCAGTAGTTTTATGTAGTGATAAATATGGCAGAGATGCTACTGGAAAATGTGCTCATAATCCTGATGCTGACCAGATACTGTGCCCGCTGCTCAAAAACATTCCATGCTAACATTGACTTTATCAGGGGTCTACAAATCTGTAAATCCCAAACCACTGCTAGCGGATGAAGAGGCTGGTCATCCTCACTTAACAGTGGGATAAAGCAGTACAAGAAGTTAACATTGTATACTTTAAAAAGGAAGATAACAGTTAAGAGGTAAATGTACTAATGGATATTAAATTGTGGGGTTTTTAAACTATCATTTATTTTCTCTTCAAGAAAATATTAGTTTTCCATGTATAGCATTTGTTTGAGAACATAGTCCAGTCTTTTGTCATACATCTTAGGTGCGTACGAAAGTACTTTTGTTCAATTTTTAATAGTATTAAACTCTGAATACTTACAGTTGTGGTGTGATTTTTATTTTAGATTGTGTAGTTTCTTTAAGTACTGCTTTGAGCAAGCCAAAACTTACCACAAGCAAACTAACTGATGTCTTCCTGTCTGCTAAATAGCTCTTTAGGATAACACATACCACTAGCAAACTAACTGGTGGCTTCCTGTCTGATAAATAGCTCTTTAGGATAACCGGTACCACTAGCAAACTAACTAGTGGCTTCCTATCTGATAACTAGCTTTTTAGGATAACACGTACCGCTAGCTAACTAACTGGTGGCTTCCTGACTAGCCAGCCGGTGCTGCAGAATCAGAGGTTCAACATCTGATTCATGACAATTCCCACCCAGGTGATGTGATTATCTATACAGATAGCTCTCTGGTGAGGGGCAGATGAAGTGCATTGGGGTTTATAGCAAAAAAGTGAATGGACGTCTTTCAGTGCAACCAAGCCTGGCACATGATATCACAATGTCTAGTCTGAACTTTCACTGCTGCTTCCACTGGCTTGAGAATCAGCTCTACACACAGGCTGTGATTATAACTGACTCACAGAGCATGTTGAGAAAGTGAAGACAGGCATGCTCCATGCAGAGTGGCAAGCATCACCTCAGAGGTCCCGGGTAGTTAACATGCTTTGGATATTGTTTCCAGGTTATGCCAGTGTGTTGGGAAATGAGCTGGCAAATAGACTTGTCGGTTCTGCATCGCTTGTTGGTGGATTGATGCATGTTAAGCTAGATGTTGTGTGGGCCCTTTGGGAGCAAGTTAACAATGTGGGGGCACAGTTAAACATTAAGGTCTGAAGAGGATGGCACTGTGAGGAGTTACGGGGGGGGGGGGTCAGACCAAAGCTCAACGGAAAGGGAAGGCGGATATACAATTAGACAGTTACTGGTGCCATCAAGATGTAAACTTTTTGCTTGCTGCTGAAGATAAGGATGGAGTGTTATGATGTCGATTCTTTCCACACAAATCAAAAAACTAAAAGAGGAGAGGAACACAGAGCAAGAGGTAGACGAAGATGGAAAGATAACATCAGAGAAACTCTACGATACCAAGACGTGTCTATGGTCAACCAGCAGGAAGAGCATGAACCAGACTCTTATATCTCCCACCACTCCTAAAGCAGTACAAGTGAAGCAGGAGTGAGTGAGTGACATTCAACCCAATAAGGACCACACAGCGAACTATAAACACCCGATGACACAATGTGCCACTATTTAGATGAGAATCACCCGGACATAAGTCCAAGAAACCACATTCAAACAGTTAAATTATATTAGGGCCCTTGATGACAGCCAGGAGCGGCTTTCAAATAAACAAATTGCATCCCATGCTGGGGCGAATGTTAAAAAAAATATTTAAGTACAAGCCTTTATAATTCAAGTCAAGTGACTGGTTATAACGATGGCAAGGTTAAATAGCAATAAGAGCATGTGAAACAACAGTAGCAAGATAAAATAAACATTTTTAGGAAGTACATCTTCTCTATGGCAACGTACAGATGTTTGCATCTTCTTGCTGTTCACCGACTAAACTGTCAGGTCCAAATTTCTGCTCGTTTCTCCACTTTGGACTTTCGTCCTGTACCAGAATTTGAATGTTGTATGCATGCACGTCTATTTTATATAACACTGTGTGTAGACTGTTGGTTTCTCGCTTTTCAGGCAGATACACTTCTGCTTTTTTTTAAAAAAGCCTTAACATGTACTGGTGATAGTAGTAGACGGAATGTGTTTGTATAAGCTCATAGAATTTTGATAAAATTGTTATAAAAACATGACTAATGTATTACATAATATACATTTAAATTGTTTACTAATCATGTGTAAGCACAGATAAACTTCTTCTTTTATCCTACTGTTTATGACACAGCGTCACAGAGAGGAGTTAGATGTTTCCTATCTTTCGCTTGTTGCATAACTTATGTTAATGTCATGTTGCACTCTTGTAAAGTCTCTTCTACTCCCTCCTTCTTTCATGCAGTTCACAATATCTACTTCTTTTTGCCCTAATATGTTTAGCGTGGGCCTTCTGAGTGTCAAGCTAAACTGTGTGCCCTCAGATTTGATGAATTTTCACCTCTTCTTATCTCATTCCAACAGCACAATTTATCGAGCAATAACACTTTTATTTGTAATTTTATTTTGAAAATACAAAAACACTTGTCTTGTTTACACCGCAATCTTGAACATACATCAACATATGTATCAAATGTGAATGACAGAAGTCTCGGGACAGACATAAACACCATCTTCACATGGAACTGAACACAAAATCTGGTAATCTGGTTATCCTAGT